CTGAGAAAATTAAATATTTTATTGTACAGCATACAATCAACGAGGCATACTAAATACATGTAGTGATTAAATCTATACAGCAAAATAGGTGTTCACGAAGAACAACAACAACAACAATTCACTTACATGAAAAGTTTTACTCACAAGCTGCATTTCCATCGCTTTTGTGTAAACAAATTAATTATGACGTCATAGGTCATAAGACCTCCATTGTGACGTAACAATGAGCTTGCATTTTCTCAAAGTATTTTTATTTTGGTAATTACTCTAAACTAAAACGATTCTTAATATCACATGTATATTTAAATTAATCATGGTAAATAATAAATATTTGCGTCAAAAGGCCTTGTACATTAAAAAAAAAAGAGGAAAAATCATATATATATTGGCTTCGAGTCATCTCCCTGTTTATATCCCCTTTTTGATATATTAATGAAAATTGTTTTTAAAAATCAGATTTGAACTGGCGAGGACTTGCACTTTGAATCACCAAGAGACGAAAGCTTGTTCTCCACCCACACTTAGGAAAATATTATAAACTAATTTGCAGTAAATATTCTCACAGTCTACTTACAGTTTGCAAGTCCATTGCTTTGTTGTAAACTAAACTGTACTGTGACGTCATAATCATCGTCAAAGACCGTAAATTCTTTATATTTTAATAGTAAGTACTTTAATTTGAAAACACATAAAATTGCACACATTGCTCTATTTCTTTATGTTTTTGGACTGCTTGACAACATTAAAATTAAAAAATGTCATTTTTTATGAACATGGAATATATTACTTCATTAGACAGTGAAAAGTTAAAATTCTAGGAATAACAAATATTACTATCATACTAATAGCCCATTGTTAAGTGCACCTTTTCGTAAGCAAGGAGAATACTGGATTAGATCCATATGGTTGCAATGACAATTTCAATGAGTGGGAAATTTTTCAAGTCCCGATTGTAGCAAATATGATGGGAATTTTTAACAAAACACAATTCTTAACATAATTTACGTTGTAAACGTAGTCATGGACATCGGTCTTAACCTAATATACATGATGTTTCTTCTGATTCACTACTATACTTTACATTAATAAACAGTTGGGTCTACATCACATTATAATATAAACCGCCAAGTTTTGCGGAAGAGAATACTTGTCGAGTAACCTGTTTTTTCTTAAACTAAAATTTGGCAACAAAGAAACTGACGCTATAAATATATATTTAGTAATATTCTTAATCACAGAAAAGTCCAGTTTTGTATTCCATCATAATTCAAGTTGAAGTCTACACCTTATGCATGTATTTCTTACAAATATTCTTTGACTATTGCTTTCAAATTGTTTAATTACACCCCCCCCCCCCCAAAAAAAAAAACCCATATCGACCATCTGAAACAAAATTATCCTAAGTATTCATCTTCTTCTCCTCCCAACAGTCCTGCTGGGTACGTCATTACTGGTGATGTGAATACAGATAATAATGAAGACCTTTATTAAATCACTCATTTTAAAAGGGTCTAAATTAAGGAAACTTTTTTTTTTAATAAATATTATGAATTCTTCGAAGATTATGCCATACTATGGTTAAATATGAAGGGAAAGACCTTAATACTTTGTCTGAATGGATAACAAGAGACCCAAGGGCCACAAAGAGCACCTGAGTCAATATGGCCCTGCTGTTTTTCATCAGCAGATTTTTTCCCTATATATTCCCATAAACTTTGATCGCATATTGTTGCCCCATACTATCTCCTATCCCCGGGGTCATGATTTGAGTAAAATAAATTATTGAATCTACACTATCTGCGTATGCTTCTATATGAATATGACTAATCATGGCTTTGCTATTTTTGAGAAGAAGATTTTAAAGAGATTATTTCCTATGTAAAACTTTGATCGCCCATTGTAGCCCCAACCATCCTTCCTTCCGTATTCAGTAATTCAGAAGCGACTAAAGAATTAACTAGATTACAAAATTAATATGTAATGCTTCCGATGACAACGTAGGTAACGATATCGCCTTTGTTTGTAAAGCTATGTTATGTAACATTCTACATGTGGTAATCCAACTTATAGTGCCCTTTCTAAGGAAGAGATTCTTCGAAATTACAGTCTTGAATATTTTTTATATTCCAAACGACCAAATTAATTTTGAATTACCATACCTAAACTGGATTCCAAAACTTCATAAAATTTTTTAAAAAGATACATAGCGGGATCTAGCAAATGTTCTACCAAGCCTCTTTAATTCTTTACTCCTCACGAAAATGTTAATATGCAGCAGTGAAGGAGAAACTTCAGCAGCACTGTGGAAACAACATATTCGAGAAGTTGTGTTAATCAAACGTGGATAGTACTGGATACCTAAGGGAAAAAAAAGATAATAAACAACTTGCTCAAGCCTGAAAGTCGTTGGGGGAAGGGGGGGGGGGTGTCGAAGACGACACACTTTCACTTTCCTAAGTCAATTTCTCTTCTGATAGATGACTCTCCTTGTCGTTTTTAAATGTGTTCGTGTTTCCTAGGGGGTAAGGTAATTTTTTTTCTTTACTTTTACATACAAATTTAATAACTATGAAAATTCCCCACGTGGATAGTACTGGATACCTAAGGGAAAAAAGATGATAATAAACAACTTGCTCAAGCCTGAAAGTCGTTGGGGGAGGGGGGGGGGGGTTGTCGAAGACGACACACTTTCACTTTCCTAAGTCAATTTCTCTTCTGATAGATGACTCTCCTTGCCGTTTTTAAATGTGTTCGTGTTTCCTAGGGGGTAAGGTAATTTTTTCTTTACTTTTACATATAAATTTAATAACTATGAAAATTCCCCACCGACCTTCCCCTCTAGATATGCCCATGGGACATAGATCTACAAATTTAGGTTGAAAAAAAAAATCTGATTCTACGCACTCTGAAGTTGATATTAAAAGGAGGCGCGAGTCCGTCGTTGACAACTCTATGTAATCTTCGAAGACAAAGTTTTCCAACAATTTGTTGGAATTCTCATCGGTACTAATCGAACCCCGTTATTAGCGAACCTTTTGTATTCTTATGAAGCAGTTTTCTTTTTTTCTCTCCCCCCCCCCTACAAAAGATGAAGTCTCCTGCTGTGGCCTTCAATTTATTTCATTCATACGTTGATTCGATATATCCCATTGAACTCATAATAAAAGATACCACAGAGTCTGACACATCTGCAACATGTTTGGATATTTTACTGAAGAAACCCACTGATGGCAAACTAACAACTAAACTCTATGATAAACCTGATGACGACTTCAACTGTTTACGCATAATTTCAATATAACAAGGAAAACGACTTTGTCGCAATTTATTACGGTTTATGGCAATTTGACAGCAGTAAAATTAATCTGTTTATGTGGTTTATGTCTCTTAGTTGATTCGATACGAATTTAAGAGCATTTACTTCTTACAACAAATTCTAAAAGAGGCAGACTGCTGACACAAATAAGTTGATGATACAAGGTTATCTACAATCTCTCTCTCTCTCTCTCTCTCTCTCTCTCTCTAAAATAAAGTCAACATTTCGCTTATATAGCCGATACAATGACCTTAATTTTGTTTGCAAATACAATCTGTCGTTAGGTCGAATGTTGACTGACGTCTTTCATACAAAATGTAATTCCATTATTTTCATACTGAATTGACTCGCAAGAGCACACGGCAGGTGTGACGGGTCAGCAGGGGATACTTACACCTCCATGGCACCTTATCCCACTTCTAATGTTTTCAGAGGTCAGGTTTTGTTCTGCCACTTAGGATGAACAGCATCACTCGAATGCGGGCGAATTATCTTGGGGGAGAGTTGTTTCATTCCAATGGAGCGGCACGTCGATTTACCCAAACGGACCCAAATGGAACTCAAATGGAAATCAAAATGGACCCAAATGGAAATCAAATGGACCCAAATGGAAACCGAATGGAATATTAAATATATATTATCGTTTTATCAAGTTGTTACTTATTTAAAATGATGAACTTACAAATGGAGAATGTTAATAAATTATTCATTTCTAATATTGTATTTTATTTAAATGAATTAATTTTCTTTAGTATTATATATATATCGGCAAATTATGGGAATGGCACAGGCCCTGCCCCCCCCCCCCCCCCCCCCGTTCCTACGGCAATGAAAACTATATAAATTTTAAAATGAAATACTTCAATTTTGTTTTCAGTGATATGGAAAAGTTATTACAAATAGAAAAAAAGATTAATTTATATTTTAAAATACAATATTAGAAATGAATAATTAATATTCTCCATTTGCAAGTTCATTATTTTCATCATTTTAAATAAGTAACAACCTGAGAATACGATAATATATGTTTAATATTCCATTCGGGTCCATTTGATTTCCATTCAGGTCCATTTGATTTCCATTTGGGTCCATTTGGTTTTCGATTTGGGTACATTTGGGTTCCATTTGGGTAAATCGATGCACCCCAATGGAGGGAAAAAACAAAAACAAGAAGTTGTCGGAAAACTGGATTTTTGAATGTGTAGGTGCTCTAAACTGTACGAATTTTCTATACTGACCTAACAGTTTTAAAAATTTGGAAACTTAGAGATAATTACTTTTTATAAGAATAGCGGTCTATTCCTGTGATTTTCTTTTATTGAAAAAAAAATACATGTAGGCCTATGTCGAAAAGTGAAAATACATTCTGTTCGGCATACAACGTTAAAGGTAAACAAACCTCAGAAGCTGATACTTGTTACAGAGCTTGTTTATTTATAAATAAAGGAGCTACCTGACCGCATGTAGAATGACAAACCAAAATGCTAAAATCTCATTCATGGCCTCAACTCGAATTTTCTCTATTCGTTCTACAATCGAACAGAGTAGGTTACATGTACATCCGCCTGCATACTAACTCGTTAGTGTAGCGAGTGTGTGAGCGGATCTAACATCTAATTTTCATTAGTCTAGATTGCTTGTTCTACAACACATCATACTTCAAATTTTCTCCTTCTATTTTCAGCTTTTTCCATGTGACAAGGAACGAGAGTATATAGGCTGTGGACTTGAAAATGCAAACTACAACGTATGAGAAAATAAGTACACAGTACTTAAAAATGTTCAATGTTTACATCAATTTCTTGAAATATGAACATCTATACTTAATCCATTGAAAGGGCTAATGATTGATAAACCCTAGTATTCCTGTTACTGATCAGTATAACATAGATAGAACGTTCTATCATTCAAATGATATTGTCCCAGTTTAACGATAGAATTCGTTCAGTGTATTGACAATGTAGCAAAATAATCACGGGCGATAACTCGTACTCTGTGCATTTTGTATGAACAATCCAAAGACTTCCGAATGTCAAGTGAACATGGTGTTAGATTTGAAGTGAGGAAAAAACGTTGAGAAAATGAGTTGAATTTTTGTATTTATATGGATTATTTTTTAGGTTAAAAGACAAATACCATCTCAAAAAGGTTTGTTATGATTAATTTGCTAGTTATTTTCAGTGCAACTCCTTTTGTATTCTTCAAAACCATTTTGGAGTGGATCCACTCCGATTTGTATGGTACGTATTCTAACTGTGGTGAGGGCTTGTCCCCAGACACAGTTAGATCATTCTAACTAATCAGTATATAATCTTTGTGTACACACCTGACAGAGTTGTGAAGTTACAAAGGGAAACGTGGGAGAGCCCACCTTCAATCTAATTAAAATTAGATGTTCCGAATCCGCTACTGCTTCTCAAACGTCTAACAACATCCCATTCGGGGTCACGTCAGAGAGACCTTTCTATTATGAATAAACATAAAAATTTGGGCCAATCAGATTCAAGCTTCTGTATACGGTTCCACAGCTACATCTTAACATTATTGATGCTCAGTAGACTGTCTTACGTTGAATTAAGTAATTTTGGTATAAATTGGATGTATGGTCCGCCAATCTGGCATTCTTACCTGAATAACACAAATGAAAATGCACACACTATATGTCTGTATATCGTACATCACATTTATATACAGCACGGTCTTTACCATGCATATTTTGTTTACTAGGAAACCCCTTGGGCGTTTAGTTTGGCAGTGAAAAAAAGAAACGCATCCGAACTATAAGCCAAGATTTCGGAGATGGCAATTTCATTGGGCAATCAAAAGGTCGCTCGTACGTGACCCCGAATGGGATGTTGTCAGATGTTTGAGAAGCGGTAGCGGATTCGGAACATCTAATTTTAATTAGATTGGCCCACCTTACACCCCCCCCCCCAAGTTTTGCAACTTGATTGTATTTTGAATGAAAAAGGCCCATTTTTACAATAATTATCAAAGCAGTCCTACTTTGATGACATCTTGGATTTTAGTTGTTGCTGCTTTTGCAGTTGTATTTTATATCTGAAAGTACCCTGATTATATTTATGATGATATCATCGCTGCGGTTCCAAAACCTCGTAAGTCAGAAAATGTGTAAAATGGTTTTTTTTTCCATTTTAGAATAAATAACTGAGTATCCATTTACTCTCAAAAAATCGTACTTCTATGCCAACCAGAAGTCTAAAAATTAGGCATGTGACAAAACCTCATATAATAATTGGTTACATGTTTTATTTCCAAAAGATGTATGTAAAAAAAAAAATACGCAAACAATCTAAACATGAGGACACAGATCATTGAAATTGAAGGTAAAGCGTATTTTATTACTTGACATAATAAGTTAAATGTCTAATTATGTATATACATGTACATATAATACGCTTCTTTTGATGATTTAACGATAAAAAAAGTATCAAAATGTATCATTGTGGAAAGCTTTCCTTGCCATATACATTCATATATTTATACATTTCCAGTCTTCATAAAATGATTAAAATCAAGGTAATGTCTCTGAAAAGTTTAAAAATACATGTATTTATTTTCAATGCTGTTATTATTGATTTAGATGTATTTCTAAGATTCTTTTTGAGATACGATGATTTATAATCAAATTCAGCATGAAATGTACGTATGAGATGTACAACAGTTTGAAAGTACTATTCTTGTTGTTGAAAAACTTTGTTTAATAATTAACAAATTAAAATCAAAGTAGTGAAATAGAAACATTTTCAACAGCTGAGGAGGGTTATTCCATTCAATAAACATCCTATTATGACAATTTTCCACACACATAAACTTATTATCTTACCTGGTGCATGTGAACTAAACTGTGTAGATTTTTGTCTTTTTTTATTTTTTCATGGGAAGAGATTACTACATGGATGTTTTCAATTTCTTACTTTTTAGCTCACCTCAACGAAGTCGTGATGAGCTTGTGCTATACCCCCGGCGTCGGCGTTAGCGTCGGCGTCCCGGTTAAAGTTTTAGGAGCAAGTCCATTGTCAAGTAACTATAAGCCCTACCTGAACCAAACTTGCATGGATGATGCATCTAGGGATGGACACTAGCACACTTGCTTCGGATGCTGGATCCAACCTAGATTTTCCAGATGAGTGACCAGGTTAAAGTTTTTGGAGCAGGTCCATTCCCAAGTAACTATAAGCCCTACCTGGACCACACTTGCTTCGGATGCTGGATCTGACCTAGATTTTCCAGATGAGTGACCAGGTTAAAGTTTTTGGAGCAGGTTCATACCCAAGTGACTATTAGCCCTACCTGGACCAAACTTGCATGGATGATGCATCTAGGGATGGACACTACCACACTTGCTTCGGATGCTGGATCTGACCTAGATTTTCCAGTTGAGTGACCAGGGTAAAGTTTTTGGAGCAGGTCCATTCCCAAGTAATTATAAGCCCTACCTGGACCAAACTTGCATGGATGATGCATCTAGGGATGGGCACTACCACACTTGCTTTGGATGCTGGATCTAACCTAGATTTTCCAGACGAGTGACCAGGGTAAAGTTTTTGGAGCAGGTCCATTCCCAAGTAACTATAAGCCCTACCTTGAGCAAACTTGCATGGATGATGCATCTAGAGATGTACGATAACCAACCTGGTTGGATGCTGGATTCAACCTAGATTTTCCACATAGTGAATTTTAGCCATATTTTAACCAAATTAGCATGGATGATGTAGCTAGGGATGGTCACTTCAAGACTTGCTTTGGATTCTGAATCTGACCTACATTTTCCAAATGAGTGACCAGGATAATTTTTTTGGAGTAGCTATATAACATTATGGCCTGTTATGATTTAACATGCATAGATGGTGCATCTAAGGATGAAAACTTCCAGACTTACTTTGGATGTTGGAACTGATCAAAATTTTCTTGATTAGTAAACAGGATAAACGTTTTTTGAACAGGTCTATTTCCAAGTAACTATAAGTCATACTTAAACCAAACATGCATGGATATTGATCTTGGGATATATACTAACTAAAAAAAAAATATGATGTGAAATTTGCCTTACTTAAAGATAACGTTTGTTGAGGTGAGCTTCGTAATCTTTGGTTACCTATGTTTCAGAATACAAAACATTTGATTTTTAATGCTGTGGATCTATAATATTGAATTTTGTCAATAAGTGTTTCGTAAACTCTTAATTTTACAAGATATTACAAGTGTTGTTGTATGACTTGGTTATGCTGACAAAGGAAGGAAGGGTGCAAAACAGAAAACACAATAAAAGCATAATGTGTTCAAATGAAGTCATTTTAAAAGATTAATAGATCACTAAAAGCAATATTAAACAATTTTAGGACAAATTGACTTGGTATGTGTTTATATTAATTAAAATGTGAAATTGGCAATAGCAAAAGTTGTAAGTACCAAAAATTTACCATAATTCTTGAGACAGAGAAATGTAGGTCAGCTCTACTCTACATTTGATGCAGTAGCATCTATTGTTGACTATCATATCAATTGCTGACTATCATATCAAGTACGATGCTAATAGCATCTGTTTGTGTGAAGGAAATTGATAGATCTGAAAAAATACTTAAATAAAAACATTTTTGTTTCTCCAGAAAAGTGTCAAATTTTGACATAGGATACCGGTAATTTGGAACCGCAGTGACGATATGATGTGTATGCATTGTAATGCCATTTCAACAGGTTTCATTTATTTTAACAGTGTTGCAACATCAGTCATCCTTACTTACATTATCATACATGTGGATGATTATATCTGGAACACGGGACACAACTCAAAAGTGACGATTGTTATGTCAGATATCAACAAATCCATGATGGAAAACTATAACAAAAGTTTAAAAGATATCTCAGAAAAATGTGAAATAAACTTCCATATAACAGAAGAAAAAATGAGCAAATTTGACATAAGCTACAACTCTGAAAGTAAAAAACTACAGAATAACTATGAAAAATGTATGGAAAAGTATAACAGATGCGAAATGGTTGTGAATAAAACACTAGTGGAATCAGCCAAACAAATAGACAAAACCATGAAGGATTTAGAAACCGTCAAGATAAAACAGGAATATGACAGAAAAACACAGTTAGATCCAGGTATGACATCCCAAATTAATACATGTGTAAAGGTTTAGGTCTATATAAAAGCAAGGACCTAAAATTATAAGGTCTTACAATCAATAACTGTACTCATTATTCAATCCTGATTAATTGCTTTGATTGACATACAGATCTAGATTTAAAGAAATTGGGTAAATGCATTTTGTCAGGTATATTCAATTTATGGTATTAATCTGATGTATTAAAATGTACATGTATTTTGTACCATTACTTCACAAAGTTCTTAAATATCCACCTACATTCAGAATTGATGCTGCTGTCCGTGTTTTTGCTGGGGATAGGAGAATTTGTGGTGTTCATGCTCCTCTTGAATGCACTAAAAAAACTAAATGCACTAAAAGGACAATCAAGATCTGCAGAAATGACACAGAATTTAAATGCAATAACACCTCGAACAAACTGGTTCAGAACAAATGGAAAGGTGGGTTACATGTGAAATATTGCAAGTGAAAAGTGAAAAATTTTAATGATCTTTATTGTGAAATCAGTATATAATTTGTTTTATCGGATATTGTTTTATCCTGTACTGAGTTTTAATTTTGGTGCTTAATTAATCTGGCTTTGAATTTAATGAATTTTCTTTCTGACATTTCTGAGAAATTGTATTTCAAAAAAAAAGAAATAAATGAATAAATAAATAAATAAATCACTATGATTTTCCTGCTATAAAAAAAATTGTCAGTAAAAATAATATTTTAAAATACACATGTATTATTTATTTATCAGAATATGAACACACTTTGACTTTTAATGATTTTTAAAAGGCTCTTTATACATGTATTTATGATTTGATAAATTTTATTTTCAATCTTGAAGGATTCCTTTGAGCTAGAAAGATCTGTTGCCATTGTCAGTTTCAATGACAATCGACACACAGAACATCAAAATTTAATGAAGGACATTACAGCAAACATTGAAACTCAGTCTCTGTGTATCACTAAAGAGGATCAGGCATTACAAATCAAATCAAAGGTTTGTGGAAAAAAGAATTTTATCAATTTGAAAGGTAAAGTAAAAGTAAGTAAACTTGTATATTAAAAAGATAGCACACATTACCACTGCTGTGGTTGCTTCAGCACTTTTCATGTTTATATCTATGGTAATACAGTGAAACCTTGTTATCTCGAACTTGAAGGAACTGAAGAAATACTTCGAGATAACTGAGGATTCAAGATATCCAAGGTAAAATACTTAAGGAATAAGCAGTTGAGACTTCAAAATTGCCTTGACATATCCATGGTATTCGAGATATCACATATCTGCGTTTGAGATACCGAAGTTCAACTGTACTTTCACAGAATCATACAATAAATAATTTTTTTTATTTGTTCTGCCACTTGATGATGAAAGTTCTTAATATACATGTAGGATTTTAATTAAACTAGTTACTGGTTCTATTTATAGTATAATTATAGTGTCTCCAACTCATCATGCTCATTTGCCCTTTTTATAAACATAAGTAGTTTTTGGGTTTTTTCTCTCTGTATGCAGGTAATATGGTACATGTTGTGTTTGAAATGTAATTTTTTGAAAAGAAACAGTTAAAATGAATCAGCAATTGCTGTTTTTTCAGATACTTTGTGTATTATTAGCTCACCTGAGCCGAAGGCTCAAGTGAGCTTTTCTGATCACATTTTGTCTGTAGTCCGTCTGTTCGTCTGTCCGTCTGTAAACTTTTCACATTTTCAACTTCTTCTCCAGAACCACTGGGCCAATTTCAACCAAACTTGCCACAAAGTATCCTTGGGTAAAGGGGATTCAAGTTTGTTCAAATGAAGGGCCACGCCTTCTTCCAAGGGAGATAATTAAGAATTCGTGAAAAATTAATGGCATCATTATAAAATCTTCTCAAAGAACCACTGTGCTTGAAAATATGAAACTTATGTGGAAGCATCCTCAGGTAGTGTAGATTCAAGTTTGTTCAAATCATGACCCCCGGGGGTCGGGTGGGGCCACAAAGGGCGATCAAAGTTTTACATAGGAATATATAGGAAAAATCTTTAAAAATCTTCTTCTCAAGAACAGCAAAGCCATGATTGGTCATATTTACATGGAAGCATCCTCAGATAGTGTAGATTCAAATTTTTTCAAATCATGACCCCCGGGGGTCAGGTGGGGCCACAATGGGCGATCAAAGTTTTACATAGGAACACATAGTAAAAATCTTTAAAAAAAACTATTTCTTAAGAATAGAAAAGCCATGATTGGTCATATTTATATGGAAGCATTCTTACAGGGATTTATCAGCCTATTTTGGGAAACACCATTTTTGGGGAATTGGGAAAAAATTATCAGCTAATTGATGAAATTGGGAAAAATTTTAAATGTTGCTTAAATCAAGTATTCAGGTGTAATTCATTTAACATTTCAGCATGAACTCAAATTTGAGCAACCTAGCTAACAGACAATTTAATATGATCAAACTTCACCATACAAGATCAATTATTAATAATAGCTAGACTAATAAAAGTAAAATTGACTTCAGTGAGTATAAAATATTTACCTATACAAATTAGGGTAGTACATGTGTGTATGAGATTCCAATTTAGGTCATTATAGAATCTGTTTCTAGAGATTATAAACCTCCTGCAAAACATTTTCTCAAAGTTCTCTTTTAACATGTATTAACTGAAAATATGTTTTTCTATCTGAAAAAAATGCCTACAGTCCTTACCATTCACTCATAGATCAATTGAGTAGGTGGAAATAATTTAATTAATCTATACAATTACACAAATCACCATTTTCAGAAAAACAGAGGAAATTCGGATTAAAAGTTGGCGATGTTTTATAGTGTTTTTAAACGTGTTATGACTGTAGGTTTGCTATATGAGTTAAACAGATGAAAATTACAGATAATCTGACAATTTTACCATGTGTTTTTTCAAGATAATTAGATATAAAAGCATTGTTCACCAATTGGGAAAAAATACAGCCAAATTGGGAAAATCTGAACTCATTTTCAATTGGGAATGGGGCCGAATTTCGGCCCCTGAGAAGGCACTGATAAATCCCTGTCTTAGATAGTGTACATTCAAGTTTGTTCAAACATGACCCCTGGGGGTCGAGTGGGGCCACAATGGGTGATCAAAGTTTTACATAGGAATACATAGGTTAAATCTTTTAAAATCTTCTTCTCAGGAACAGCAAAGCCATGATTGGTCATATTTAAATGGAAGCATCTTCAGATAATGTAGATTCAAGTAGATTCAAATTTGTTCAATTCATGACCGACCCCCCCCCCCCCCCCCCCCCCCCCCCCGAACCACTTTTATATTTAAACTTTTCAACCTTTCAAGACTGAACTGATTTCTGCTTTTTCCTAGCCATAGTGCTCAGGTGAGCGATGTGGCCCCTGGGCCTCTTGTATTTTACATAATGTATCAAAGTATCATGTAGATCTGAATCAATGAATCAATATATCAAAACATATCAATTTTCAAGTGTGTATTGTATGTATCAAAGCATTAACTTCCAATATGTCAGACAGTTTTTCTTTTAATTCTGGGTAAAAGTTGAAAATTTCATCCATCAAAGATTTGTTTTGAGTATGTGTTCTGAAAACTGGCCAATAATGAAATACCCATGAATCAGACTGCACCACTTAAATGATTCACAGATTGCATTGCATAATACATGTCAGACCACTGTACTTCAGCACATTGATTTTACAAATGTTGTGAATTTGAATTTGAAGTGTATTTGCATGTTTGTAATGACAATAAGGCAAGAACTACAAAATGATTATTACAACACTCAGTTCTGCATGAAATGATTGCAAGACTTTTTTGACAGAATTTATATGAGATTTGATTCCACCTCATTGCATCAGGTACATATGCCCTCTAGAAATCAAAGGATCTGTCTGACTATCTGTCTGTATGTCAACACATTTATGTGATGCAAAATCTTGAGTACCTTTCCTTGATTATCTTTCAACAAACAGACTTCATTCATGTACCTACTACACAAAGAATTCCAGTGAACATTTTACGTACACAGGTGAACAATGGCAAGATACCCATAGATTTTGAAATGTTTATTCAAAGGAAACAGTCAACATGGTCTTCTCTCACATGAACACACTTTATTTGTGAAACAAAATAATTGGATCTGTTTCATGTAGAATTTTTATTCACAATTAAAAGAGGCCCCTATAGATTCTGAGGCTACTTGTTCAGAGGTCAGTAGTCAACATTATTTTAAAAGCACACTGAGGACTGCAGTATGATTGTTGGTCTTATAACAAGGATCACAATGTATTTTCACCAAAGTAGTTTTCTTATTTTTATTTTTCACCCTTTGATTTTGTTTCTCTCAGTGCAGCAGTATAATTTTTATAAGATTATAGATTTAAGTTAATGTTATTATGATCTGGAATTAAACTTGTTTGATTTCTAACTCTCTTTAGGTGTCAGTGTTATTTGTGGAGAGAAATGACCGTCACATAATTTTAGAATCGGAACATGAAGTTGGTGACCTTAAAGTGAGTTGTGTTAGACACATCATAAAAAAAGGAGGTAGGTTAACAAAAACTGACTCACATCTGATCATATTAATAAGGACATAAACCAATGAAAATTAATCTTTCATCTTATCATCAAATGCTGGTTGTAAATGTCATCATTTCTGTACATTGTGCATATTCACTGTCTTTATGTTAATTGGAAAATCAGAAGCATACCAAGAATGATAAATCATATTGAGATCAAAATAACTAAACATGTGGTGCATCTTGAAAGGAAGGAATGTTACAAACCAAAAGCACTAGGTCATGTTGACCTCATTTTAGAATTCAGAGTCTCGGCAGAGTCGTGTTATGTCCAAATAATATCTTGCACTCTGTAACAAGTAGAATTATCCAACCTTGTCAGTTGACATTTGTTAAGAAAGTTGCCATATCAAAATACACTCGTCACTCTGACTTCATTTAAAATATCAAAGTGGGGTATGTGCATAATGATTCAAGACCCAAAAGTACTATTAGATTATTGCTCTTATTTCTGATGGGCAAATTATTTTCCCTTTTAAAATATGCACTTTAATCTCCCTCTTTATGATTTTTTTTTTTTTGACAGTTAAGGTCAGACGACATGTTCCTCTGTAATATGTAATTTTTTCCAAGAATTTGTCATTGAAGTATTGCTACTTTAACAAGTTTCCTCACAAAAAAATTAAGGTACCTTACCAGGCATTTGTGCATGTTGTACAAGATACCAGAGGATGCTATTTACTATACGTGTATAATCCTATTGAAAATCACTACATTGCCAATACATGTATCCCAATTTTTTTGGTGTCTTTATCATTTAGGCATTTTGAAAACAGTTTGAAAGTCACAAAACAATGATAATTTATATCATTAATTTCCTGATGTAAAACAGATATGCAAGCTACGTGTCATCAGACCTTAATAGAATTAAGGGACTCAAGTATTTTTTTCTATTTAGTTGTAAAGATTACCATTATGTCTGTCTGTATCACAGAACATTTATCTTTACAGATTCTGTAGTATTTATAACTTTACTATTTTAATAATACATGTACTGGTACTTCATTGAACAAATTGGATTATTTACTATCTTTTGTAATCTTTGACAGGTAAAGTGATCATCGTCTATTGTGGACACAAAGAGTCAGAAGACATGGGAGATAACCTGTGTAGTGAAAAGTTAACATCTGCAAACAGACATGAAGAACTGAGATCATTGAAAAATGAAGGTTGTTTCCTCAGTATTTACAAAGCCTTCTCTAACAAACAAAAGGAGCATTTAAAAGCTAAACTGAAGAAATATTTAGGATAGATTTTACAGTGTAGTTAGGCAGAAATGAGAATTTTTACATGCCTAATTTGGAACTTTTCTGTTAGAAAGAATTTTGTATCTTTCAAAATTTTTTAATGATAGAGTGTTTTACATTATGAAATAAATGTGACAGGAAAAAGACTAGGTGTAAAACAAGAATTGTGTGTATGGTCAATTGAAAGATAGAATTTTCAAGATTTTTGAAACATTGAATTTTTTAAGATTGCTTCCCTTATTTTTAATTTTGTTACCTATATTCTCATCAATCACTGTTCAGTTTGTGCCATATGGGATTTGTATTTTGATGGGGTTTTTTTTCCAGCCTTCTTCCTTGAAATGGTTGAATACATAGCAATAAAACAAAAGTAAAGCAACCTTCAAACATTGTTTATTCTTGGACAAGCAAGTGATAAGTCATAAAATGAAGATTCATGGTAAAGGAATCAGGGTCCTGTTTTGTGAAAACTTATGACTATAAAGACCAAAATGTAATTTTGGGAATAACTTTCTTTCTTTTACATTAATTTTAAAATGGTTTTGGTTTTTAAAAAAACATCTCGTATTTGTGCACGCTTTTTTTTCGGAATCGTCTATTTTGGAAGATTTTTATACAATCAACTTAAGTTTTTGGTCTTAATCATAAGTTCTTTTGTAAAACAAAACCAGACCCTTAGGAGGACAAAGTGGTCCTGTATTGCATGCCTTTAAAATTTGCTTTATTTCTTGGACCTCTTGTTTTTTTTATTCTTGGACTTCTTGCAAGCTGATACTAGCATGTAAATATACAATGAACAATGATCTTTCTATCAAAATTGTAAAAGCTAGATGTAACCCCCCCCCCCCCCTTTTTTCTGAGTTCAGACCCTGAAAGCTCTAAGTTGTCATAGGTATCTAGAGCTCAAGTAAAAATTTGCTGCCAATAGAAAGAATGAACATCTTAAAGCCATGGTCTTATATATGAGAATGGTATCTTCTTTCATTACAATGAAAAATCTAATGGCTCAAATCAAAACAACAAGGAGCAAATTCAGAGCAACAAGGAGCAAAATCAAAGCAACCAGGAGCATTTCATTTCATGTTGCAATGCCGTAGAACGCTGGGGGGGGGGCTTTTTTCTGAGTATAGACTTTTGCTGGTAAATTTTCCTTTCACGCTAGTCCCCCCTTCCCCATCACACACACTTTTACATTTTTCGTCGCTCTAAGGTCAAACTGGCAAAATCCATGATTTGGACAGTTGAGGAGGATTTTTTTTCTTCCCTTTTTTGTCAATTTTTTTGCGGGAGGTTGCCCCCCCTCCCCCACTGTTGAAACCTGTTGAAATACAATTAATGTAGATGGATTGACTTGGTAAAATAATTAGAATACATCAAGTTTTATATTTAATTTAGTTTTTCTTTAAAAATTCAGTGAATTGTTTCACTGGTTACTCAAAATGAAATACTTAATGCGTTTGAAATGTTATAATGTTACCATGAGTAGAATATATATGGGAAAAGGTATTTCAAAATTGAATTCGATACTTTCTCTACAGTTTCTCTGATATTAGATACTAATGCACTACAATGTGAAATAACAATAAGATTATTATATGTCTTTTTATTTTCTTCAGTAAAGGTGTTTCAACAATTAATGAGAATAGAGCAAAAAGGAAAAAAAATCAAAAAACCTTACAAAATATTCTAACATGTTGTAAGTGTTGTCACTTTCTAGAGGAAATTTATATTTAAATAGAATAGTTAAATATAAAATACCTGGGGTCCGTTTTACAAAAAGATCTTACGACTAATGCTCAAAACTTTAGTTGCTTGTAAAATCTTACAAAACTTATGTTTCTGTTAAAAATTGTTTGCGTAAAAATATTTCTAAATTCTTTTCAAAAAGATTAAAACCATTTTCAAAGTAACGCAAAAAGAAAAGTTATTTGAATAATAACATTTTGATCTTAGTCGTAAGTTCTTTAGTAAAACGGAGCCCTGGTTACTGTCTTGAAATATAAGCAATATTTGGGCAAGGGTAAGAAAACGAGATAGAGGGCGAGGCTTGCCGAGTCCTCTTTGCGTTTCCGACCCGAGACCGAATATTGCCACGTTTTTGAAGACGCACGAGGATATATATTTCGGCATTGACCAAATATAGCCTTGGTTTATTCGGTCAAGCAGTGGTTGCAGGATGAATAAAACCAGCAGAATCCTAAAAACAGTTTCAATCGATAGAGTTATAATTAATCTTATCAGAGATAAATTTACATACTAGTATGTTATTTATTGCATGTGTTAATTTTTGTGTCATTTATATTTAAGATATTATAAAGTTTACCAAATAAAGAAATAATTGTACCTGTGTCAATTTTTCAGCTCTCTCTCTCTCTCTCTCTCTCTCGTACTTTATAGATATTGAATAAAATAATTAAGGTTTAAACCAAATAAAAAAATTAAGAGTTTGCCTCTCAGCAAAAGGAATAAAATACGAAGTATTGCATGTAAGGCATCCTGAAATACTAAAGCGGCTGTATTCTGTCTTATAAAGTTTAAATTATAAGGTATGATTTTTTTCAGTTCTACCTTTGTCAACAACTTTCAGCCCCCCCCCTCCCCCTCTCTCTCTTTTTCATTTACTTTTTAGATATTGAATAAAGTAAGGTTCAGAGTAAAACTTAAAACTTAAGAGAAGAGTTTGTCTAACAGCAAAAGAAAGGATGTTGATTTTTCGATGTGTTGTAAAGCATCCTAGCCGTATATTATCAGAATTTAAAAAAAAGCTACCCTTTCGCGCTCCCCCTTCTATAATAACTACTCCCCTCACCCTCTTTGGTATTTGAGCAAAACTCAGCTTGTAAAAATTATAATTGACCCCCCCCCCCCGTCCGCGAAATTAGTCCTTGTTATGGTGTTTCACCCCAGCAATAATACCTGTAGACAATCTTTAGATACTATACATGTAGATACTTAAATGGAACAACTTTTGAAATTGCTATTTATGTATGTCTGACTTCCTTTCACTGAGAAGGAAATATCAAGGCATCCTATACACCGTTATTATGCATAAATTCAGAGTATTCTATATGATAAAAAAAATCATAAATAGATTGACTATTTTCGCAATATGCACTATAGATTTTCACCTTGTCTCTAGAAAGCGGTAACCGTAATGCAATGTATAGAATTTATATCCATAACATTTTAAAAAAAAGTTTTTTATATTCACATAGGAAAAATAAAATCACGAAATGAATACTTTTATCAGTTGTTTGTATAAAATAATTAATAACTCAATTAGAAAAAAACTGTTGGCCTAAAAGTAACATTGAACACATAGTATCTTCTAAAAAAAAACACACAAGGTAAATATAGCAAAATATTTTCATAGCTATCTATAAATTTGTTAAAACAAATTGTATTCGAAAACAATTCCTATCTTGACAACGTCGAATTTTTCATGTACGATTCAAATGATGCTTTCCTATAATTTGCGCATGCGCAATGCCGGTAAATTCAAAGCTGAAAGTTGGAAAGGAAACTACACGATGTAAATATTAGAAGATAAAGTCACAAACGGTACAAAGAATATTGTTTAAAGGACATAAATTAGCTTAGTTTTATATATTTCATTGAATAATAGCGTTAAACACCACGACTGGTCACCCAAATCAACTTCCAGTGCCCATACACTACAGTGTCGCACACAGTGCTAACCCATTCGTCTGTAATCACGGGTGCTTCACTTCGATTTTCTCTATCCTGGATGTTCCTCTGTCATTAAGGGGGCTTGTGGTTTGCGACGATGGGCTAACCCAACCCTTTTGCATGTAATTCACTCAGTGTTAATGAAATTTAACATGCTCCCCAGCCCCCTCACATGTCAGAAATGTAAAAGCAGGGGTTCATCATGTACCTAGGAATCTATGAAAAGATACTAAAGATTTATTTTAAAAAAAAAACAAGATAATTCAGGGAATTAATGTACTCGCTTAGGGAAAAGTAAAAGGATGGAAGACCAAAAATGCAGACGAAGAAAGAAAAGAAAGGTTGGCCTTGACTTTTTATCTTTTGGCCTTAAAATCATGCAGTAGGAGTCTTTCTCAACTTACTAACTAAAAGGAATCATCATATTAAGTTTAATTGCAAAAGCTGAAAGAGAAATAAAGTTATCATTTAATGCAAAACTGGAATGATTTTAGTTTGTGGTGGTCAATATTCATGGGCTAGCAAAATTTTATTAGTTCATAAAGACGTTATTTCATGGGGTAACTCGTTTATACAGAAGATTCAGTGTATAAATATGTTGACAAAATAATTGTTCATAAGGATATAAATTCATGGGTAAGGGTGACCCACACAATCCATGAACATTGGTCCTCCATGAATAATTACGATTCCACAGTATATGAATTTCTGACCTTAACCTTTAACTTTTGACTTCAAAATCAATACAAGTCTTCTTAAAGTCACAAGAAATGATGGTACATGCATAAAATTTCATTGCAAAAGTTCAAAGAGAACTAAAGTAATCATCTGGAAACCCGGCCTTTATACAATACTGTAAATCAATTTTTATTTGTGAGAACTTTATTTTCATGAAATAAGTGACAGTCTGCATGCCAAAATTTCATTCTTGCATATGTTTGTATTGTTAACTAAAACAAGAAGTTGTGAACATAAGTGCATTAATTTCTGCGTGTAACTATGTTGTGATAATTTACTGATCTACAGTAGGCTATATGAATTTTTGACCTCCATTTTGACCTTTTGACCATAAATTTGATACGGATCTTTTTTAAGTCATAGGAAGTTAGAATATAAAATTTCATTGTGAAAGAGAGGGACAGACATACCAAAATTAATATCCTCAGCTTTAAGCATAAATGGGAGAAAAAGAGTGTAAAATTCACATAAATATTATATTTTACATGGATATTTGGCTATGTGCCCATTGAACGCTTCACAGCTTTCAGAACTTTACTCCTATTACACCTTTTTATTGATCATGTATGAATATAGAATGGGCCTAAGAGAAACAATAATAAATGTATATACATGTATAATAATTGCATGCAACTTTGCCTTGAAAATTTGATTTTCTTGCACATTATTTTTCATAAGCAAGAACTCACATATTTATGGTGCAAAATAATTCTCATATCTCTTCTGTTATTACGCTGTATAAAGCTGTCTATTTCCCTGAGAATGGAATGCACTACTTTCCCATCTGAGGACTACTCCCTGTAAAATCAGAGCTATTCCCTGGGACTACTCCATCATTAATGTTCATTAATATTTTTCACCAATCAAAATGCTTGGTGGGGGGAGTGTTTGAAGAATCTCAAGTGTGTGACATACTGTTATCTAGCGAAGTAACTATGACATCAAAACATTTCACCATGCAATGTTGGAATCATAATGGAAAGATGGCAAAATGACAAGCATGATAATTCTTTAAAATATTTGAAAATATTTTCTTTAAACTTTTAATCAATTTCCCTGTTCATTGAATATTTAATGAAATTCCAGCTATTTGTGTTTATTTGGATGCCTGTACATTGTCTAAAAAATAGCAGCATATCTGATTTAATAAATATCTTTAAATTGTTTCAGTACATGTATAATAAAAACAGTTATGGAATGGGTAATCAATTTCTGGTTTTTGTCAAAAAACTATTTCCCTCGGCATCTTCGCCACTCTTGGAAAAATTTTTCTCCCCCCAGAGACCATAAATTTGCTATCTCTCGATGACCCATATATTAACCAGTTATGAAAAATAAGAGAAATCAATCTTAGTACCATTTTCATTTTGTGTAGAAAATTGGTTATACCAGTTGCTCTGCTGCCTCTGTGTCAACAATACTGTAATATAGATTTTTAAGCTGTCACCTCCATTTCAGATAATGCCTAGGCATAATCAAAGAAAGGAGTCTCCAAGTGGCTCCAGTCGACGGAAGAGTCGAACACCAGGTAAAATCTCATTAATAGAGCCTTTGAAATAAAATTGTTTTCAAGTACAGTACATTTTTAAAAAAATTTATTAAGATTATAAAAAAGTGATACATGTATGATATTTTTTTATGTGCATTTCATCTCTTTTGAACTGCATGCATGTTTATATTTTATGTGTATGATGTATTAATTTACAGGGCGTGGTCGACGCTCTCAAGAGCCCTCCCCTAAAAAAAGACGTTACAGACCTGGTCAAAAGGCCCTGAAAGAAATAAGACAATATCAGAGGTCAACAAATCTGTTGCTGAGAAAACTGCCCTTCTCCAGAGTGGTATGTGCAGTGGATATTAAGCTCACTTGAGCCAAAAGATCAAACTTTTCTGTTCAAGACTTGTTGTCTGTAGATGAATGATGTATAAACAAATTCTCATAGCAAGGATTCAAGCTGTTTTCAGAAAATTATGACTCCCTCAGTTTCTGACAGAATGCCTCATTAAAATGGGTCCATATAAGTGAGTCTGAAATTTAAGAAGAGAGTTTGCTTTTCATTATGCTATCTTCATTCCATCAGAGCACCAACTGTTATACAGTATATGTAAATAAATATATAGATATGTCCCTTATTATTTACACCCTATCACACTTGAAAACCATTTTACCCTATTACATGTATTAATATGCCTAGGCACAGTTGTGTTAAAAGAGGGAGACAACTCTGTTGAATTTGAACCATTTTGAATTCACCCACTGAACTAGGGCAAAAGTTTTGGAAATAAAATGGTGGCAAAATTTTCCCTGCAAACAGGAATTCTATGATTTATGTTTTGTATTATTTAGGTACGGGAAATAGCCATGGAAGTTGTTGGTCCTCACCAAACCATGATGTGGAAAGCTACAGCAATTATGGCCCTTCAGGAGGTGATTTTGTACATATTAATATATTTCACATACTGGCCTATAGAATACAGTGAAATCATTAGATTTCATGGTGGATCAATTTTCATGGAATTCATGCTCATCCTCAACGAATGAATTCAAATATGTATTTAATGACATTTTCAAACATTATTTTTTACGTCACCCAAGTCACTCAGGTGACCTATCGATATCCATTTTTGTCAGTGTCATGTGTTGTGTGCAGGTCGTAAACTTTTGAAGCTATGGGATCACTGAACCAATTTTGGCATATAGCATCTATGGGTGAACAGAAACAAAATTGTTTATTTCATGATCTCTCTCCCCTTGAGGCCAGAGGAGTGGGGCTAAAACCACCGAAATTAATGCAATCTTTAAAAATCTTCTCAACTCTTGGACATCAAGCAGTCAAATTGTTGGCTTGATTGTAATAAGCATTAAGACATCTACCAAAATCGTGAAATTCATGGCCTCTGGATTGGAAGTTCTGGTGTCAAGGTGGGGCTCTGTTGATTATAGAGAAAAAATGCATAAATTCTTTGAAAATCTCCTTCTCTTCTCTTGGGTATTTAGCAGACAATCTAAGTGCAATGTTGTGATGAGCAAGGATGTCTTTTCCAAATTGTGAAATTGTGGCCCCTGGGTCCGAAGTTCTGGTGTTAGGGTGGGACTCAGTTAGTGAAAATGCATTTATTTTTAGAAAATCTCTGCCCCTGGGTATTTAGCAAACAAACTAAATGCATGGTTTTGATGAACAAGGATGCCTCTTTCCAAATTGTGAAATTCATAGCCCCAGGGTCGGGGGCTCTTGTGTTGGGCTCTATTGAATATATACTGAAAATGCATGAATTCTTGAAAAAAAATCTTCTCTGCTACTGGGTATCTAGGAGGAAAATAGAGTACCAAGATGTAGTGAGCACATTTTTTTTCACCAGATTTGTGAATTTTTTACCACTTCAATGGTCAAAGGTTGTAATGTAGACAGGGCTCTATTGATCTTGCAGGGAAATATGTAATCTACTTTGAGAGAAGTCATTCTCCTTTGTTATTATCTTATGATCATTAATTACTGTAAATAATGTTACGGACAGGTCATTTGAATAAAAGAATTATACAAGAATTTCTAATGTATAAATACAAAGACTTTCTTAGTTTTTAATTGTCAGATAGACTTGTAAAGAAGAACAGATAAATTAAATTGAGACAAAAATACCAATGTAATTTGTTTTACTTAGAAGTACAAGCAATTTGATGTAATCTCTTATACATGTACTATTAAATACAGCTAAAAGTTTGTTGTAATCTGTTACAGGCAGCAGAGGCATATCTAGTTTTCCTGTTTGAGGATGCCCTCTTGTGTGCAATTCATGCCAAGAGAGTGACTGTTAGTCCTAAAGACATTTGGTTAGCCCAGAGATTACGTGGAGATAGATGATATGACTCCTCCACTCTTTCTTACAATTTTAATTAGATTTATGAAATGTTTTTATGAATTTTTATTTAGTTTTTTTTTTAATATCGAATTTCTAATCTTGTTAAAGTTAAATCATAGATAGATACAAACATTTTATCAAAGGATGACTTTTATGTTTTTTAAAAATAGCAGCATTCATTTGGTATATTCATTTATGACTAAATGAGTATAATAGAAATCAGGCACTTAACTTTTATTCATTTTCTATGAAAATATTTGTAAGATTTAATCATTAAGGTAATTTATTGTTAATGTTGCAAAGAACATTGTTAATAATGCCAATATTAGATGGTCGGTAAAAATTCACTAATGGTATACATTTACACATTGGAGAAGGATTCACTATTTTGCAAATTTGCAGTACTATTATTTCTATCAAAGTAAACATATTAGCATATCATTTTACAATAAGTTAATCTCAAGAAAGCAGGCACTAAGTACAATTTATACAGTAGAGTTTTTTATTCTGGTTTTAGAAGCACATAGGTGCCCCCAGTTAAAAAAATTTCAACATGCATGTATAATTCTATGCACTTTTTTTTATTTTTTCAACATAAATGATATAATAAAATTGCAGCAAAAGATCTAGCTTTCATTCATTCATTGTTTTTGTCAACTTCAAATTGATATGTGAACAAATATGAATAATGCAGTATTTTTGCATTTTATGCATGTATCCTTCCAAGTCATTCATTAATTCAATTTGAAATAAAATTTTCATACTTTTTTGAATTTTTGAGTTCTTTCTACACCCAAAGTTTAAAAGGTTTGGGTGTAGGCATGAAGTTTATATAATATTCATCCCTCAATTATTTTAACTCATCTGAGCCAAAGGGTCAAATAAGTCAGGTATATAGAGGATATTCAATGTTTTGTAGATGAATATGGAATTTATTTCACGAGTGGGACAGGATTTTTTGATATTTTCACGAGTGCAAAGCACGAGTGAAAATATCAAAAAATCCTGTCTCACGAGTGAAATAAATTCCATATTCATCTACAAAACATTGAATTTTCTGTTTATTACATTTTCTTTGATTTTCCCTTTGCCTCTGTCTTTTCTTAACACAGTGTCATAGGCTTGACGTCATAGTTGAGCAGTTGAAACGTCATAGCTTAGAAGTTATGTGTCAGATTGAAAACATTACATAGCATGAATTTTAGCATTAACATATTTAGGAAGAAATTTGCAGTTTTAGCTCTATCAAGATGCTTAGTTACTATCTCTATCTTATGACAGGCCAGAAATTATTTTTTACTTACTTTGATATCCTTTCACACTGTGAGAGAATATCATTTTTGATATCCTTTCACACTGTGAGAGAATATCACTTTTATTCAATAAATAAATCACAGTATTTCACTGTTGAAAATGTAATAAATGTTTGTATATCCCTGCATCATGTGATCCTTAAACTTGTCATTTTTTAGCTACCTCAACGGGGTGGGGGAACTTATGTTATACCCTCAGCATCAGTGTTTTGGCGTCACAGGTTAAAGTTTTTAGAGCAGATTTCTCTTCAGCTGCTTCTATGCATGGAAAATGCTTCTAGTGTGATTCAGTGTACTAGTCAAGGTTTCAGATGCTGCAATTTCAGCTAAAGAATGACCAGGTTAAGGTTTTTGGAGCAGGTTAAAGTTTTTGGAGCAGGTCTCATTTCCAAGTAACTATAAGCCCTATATTGACCAAACTTGCATGGATGATACATCTAAGGAGGTACACTCTCAGACTTGCTTTGGATACTTGATCTGACCTACATTTTCCGGATGAGTGACCAGGTTAAAGTTTTTGGAGCAGGTTCATTTTTAAGTAACTATAAGCCCTATGTTGACCAAACTTGCATGGATGAAACATCTATGGATGCATGATACTGGACTTGCTTCAGATGCTGGGTCTGACATACTTTTTCTGGATGAGTGTTCAGATTAAAATTTTTTGAGAAGGTGCATTCTTAAGTAACTATAAGCCCTATGTTGACTACACTTGCATGAATGATACATCTAAGGATGCACACTACAGAACTTGCTTTGGATGCTGGGTCTAATGTATTTTCTTGATGAGTAACTAGGTTCAAGTTTTTGCAGCAGGTTCATTCTTGAGTAACTAAAAGCCCTATGATGACCAAACTTGCATGGATTATACATCTAAGGATGCATTCTACTGGACTTGCTTTGGATGCTGGATCTGATCTACATTTTTGCACGAGTGACTGATTAAAAGTTTTTGGAGCAGGTTCATTCTAGAGTAACTATAAGCCCTTCATTGACCAGACTAACATGGATGATACACCTAAGGATACACACTTGGAGCAGATCCATTACCAAGAAACTACAAGGCCTATCTGAACCAAACTTGCATGGATGGTGCATCAAGGGATGAACACTCTCAAACTTCTTTAGATGCGGGATTTGACTTACATTTTCTGAATGAGTGACTAGTTTCAAATTTTTGAAAAGTCTTATTCCTAAGTAACTGCAAGCTCTATCAGACCAAAATTGCATAAATGTTACATCTAGACATGCACACTGCTAGATTATTAGTTTAGTGTTGGACTTTGCCTTACTTAAAGACAAAATTCGTTGAGGTGAGCTCTGTAATCTCTGATTACCTATGTTTTACAACTTCTCCAAAACCAATTGGCCAATTTTAACCAGACTTGCCACAAACCATGCTTGGGTGAATAGAAATCAATTGCAGCTTAAGTGAAGAGTCATGCCTCCTTTCTGTTGGAGATAATTAGATTGTTGTCTTCATTTTTAAAAACCTCAAACTTAGATGCTTTTTATGCCTCCGTATCGAAGATTCGGGGGTATATAGTTTTTGCCCTGTTTGTCCGTCTGTCTGCCTGTTTGTCCCCCCAAAACTTTAACATTGCCCATAACTTTTGATTGGTTGGAGCTATGACTTTCATATTTCACATGTGTTTTCCTTGTGACAAGACCTTTCTTTGGGTACCACCATATTTGACCTTTTCACATTGACCTTGGAGTTTGACCCAGTTTTGCAAAATTTTACCGAACTTTAACCTTGGCCAAAACTTTTGAACGGTTGGTTCTAGGGCTTCCATACTTCATATGTGTAATTCTTGTGACAAGTCCTTTCTTTGGATACCAACAACTTTGACCCTTGATCTAGGAGTTTGACCTACTTTTGAAAAACTTAACCTTGGCCATAACTTTTGAAGGTTGAAGCTAGGGCTTTCATACTTCACATATGTAATTTTTGTGACAAGACCTTCCTTTGGATACCAACAACTTTGACCTTGACTTTGGAGTTTGACCTACTTTTGTACAACTTTAACCTTGGCCATAACTTTTGAACGGTTGGTTCTAGGGCTTTCATACTTCACATATGTAATCTTTGTAACAAGACTTTCCTTTGGATACCAACATCTTTGACCCTTTTCATATCTCACATGTGTATTCCTTGTGAGAAGGCCTTTCCTTTGGCACCATTAATTTTGACGTTGACCTTGATGTTTGACTTACTTTTGAAAAACTTCAACCTTTTCCATATCTATTCAATGGTTGCTGCTAGGGTTTTATATTTCACAGGTATATTCCTCAAGACAAGACCTTACTTTGGGTACCAACATATTTGATTTGCATTTGAGAAAGTTTAACCTTTGCTATAAGTTGCCATGTGGGGGCATCAGTGTTTCACAAATACATCTTGTGTATTTATTCTAATTAAGGATTGAGCATCTCATTTTCCAGTTACAGATGAACTGCATTGATGTCTCACATACCAGGGATATGTCAAAAGTGATTTGGCAGTCCCAACCACTTTTCCTTTGTTTTTATTAACCAGTTGTAATCTTGAATCCTAGAATATCTTGAAGTTTAATCTCAATCCATGAGTTCAAGATAACAAGGTTGGACTGCAATTTGACCTTTGGGTAATATATATCTCAATCAATATAAGCCCATGGAAAATTTCATTCTAATCAAGATATACATGTAACTTCAACATCCTGTTATTTAGTGTCCTTGACTTTACGTTGTGTAATAACCTATCAAAGTTCTATTCACGGATTTCAAAGCTACATCAAGAACAGTTTTCAATACCTCATTGCATACTGACATTTGCCCATGAGATGTGACCTTGAGTAAAGAACATGACAACTTTCAAGTCATGAGTACCAATTTGATTAACTTTGAATAAATTCAAGTCAAAGTTTTTTAAAGATAGCCTGAACACTCAATTTCTGACAGAGGTGGACAAAGAAGAGAAAATCAGTGTTTTCTCCATACTTTTCATAACACAAAACAAAAAACATCATATTCTTTCATAAAAATATAATGTTTTTAACATACAAGCAAGACTAAAACATCATTAACATTAAATCTTAACAGAGAGCAACTGAAAACAAGACTGGGGAAAACAAGTGACAAATCCTGCATACTGACAAAACTTGTGTGGGCATGATTATCACATATAATAATAAAAAATACTTTTCAAGCAATACAGATTGGAAATAGTCAAAGGTTTGTTACATTAACACTATGAAATGGAATATTAGGTTTTAGGTGTACTGATTAAAACCTGATTAAGTTTAATTTTCAGTATTCACTAATAATGAAATGTCTTTTTAAATAATTTGTTTAGATCTGACCTTTGCATGTTTTTTTTTTTTTTTTAAATTATCAGTTTTATCGATATTTATTTGTGGCTCAGTGCTCCACCTGTACAGGTATATATATGTAGCTCATCTCTATTCATTACTGGTATATCCCTTTCATCTGAGCAAAATTCTATTACAGAGAGACAAGAAGGTGGAAATATGTATGTTGTCTTTAAACTGCATGAAATTTTATAATACTTAATTGGTAGAACATTTAAAATTTACAGTCTGGCTGCAGAGGTTTCACAACTGAGGTCAAAAGTCTGCTAAGTTCCGTTCCCAAAAAATTAAAATGACTATCTGAAATGTTTCTCATCTTAATTTGGAATGTTTTATTTAACACTATTATTATTAAAAGATGCAAATAAATACAATTTGGTTTGTTAATTTATAATAATTGCAGATAAGGTACTAGAATATGTAAAGTTAGTACATTGTAATATTTTTTTAACAAAATATCAACATTTTGATTTAGTTTCTTTGACACTGTCATAACCGAACTGTTCATGATTTAACTCACAATTCACTCTTAAGTTAAAATTCTAAAAATCTTTGAAACAAAAATATATATTTATAAATATGTAGTGCTTAGCAAACACTTCATTCTTGAACCATTCATAGTCGATAATGGTAGACAAGCAAAATAATGGAGTACCATTATCATTCATAGATAGTGTAATTAACAAAACTACACGAATACTACGGGATCCCAACACATTACTGGCACACAATACCACTATAAACTTCCTCAGTTACCCATCCAAAACACAGTTATTCAAAAGTCTCCCATTTTTTCTGTGGAGAGGGACTTCCCCCACTTTTAAGTGACTGTTCTAGTAAGTCTGTGAATGGATCTGATGATCGGTCAGCTGACGCGGTGGAGCTCGCCACAGAGCTACCACTGGTACGCTGAGAGGAAGCCACAGAAGAATGCACAGAGGGATGGGCAAGTCTATGGCCTGATATTTCTACAGAGGCTTGTTGAATTTTGTGTGGGGAAAAATTACTTAGTCTAGAGAGGGGTTGATGGTGACTAGAAGTGAAATGGGGAGGGCAGGGAAAGCCTAAATGTGGTGGTTTTTGTGCAATAGAAGGTTTCACTCCAGGATGGGATTGGTTTTGGGATATAGGTAAGTTATTTAGTTCCCATGCTTGCATAAGTTCATGCACACTTTTCCTGGGCTCTTCCTTGGCTTCTGTTTGTTCTGAAGAAGTGTTACTTAATGGATCAAATGTTTCAATGCCATCCAGTCCCTTCTTTGGTTGTGTCACACTGTTCACAGTTTTCCTTTCAGAGGAAATGTCTCTTGGTGTTCTGCCATTCTGTTTCTTAAAAGCATCTGCTCTCCTAAGAAGCAATGGTGATCCTTCACTTTTCTCCCGCAGGGTCTCTACTGTTCCAACAGTTTGTGATCTAGGTGAAGAGAATGGATCGAAATCATCATCCACTGAATCTAACTGAATCAGGGGCTTTGACACCACTTCCACTGGCTTTGTTTCACTTTCAGTTTTAACTTGTTCAGCATCTACTTTCACTTCGTCTGTAAGACTTTTCCTAGGTGCAGGCCTGGGTTTAGCACCTATTATCCGATCCTTCACAACCAGATTTTCGTTCTTATTCCTCTCCATTTTCCTTCGTCTTGGAGGTGCCACTGGACGAGAGCCTGGATTTTCAAAGTCTGATGTATTGCTTTGAGAGTCTGACCCATCAGCCAAGGGGAGAGCACTGAAGCTATCCTGAGTGCCTGTGGATCCAATACTGTGGGAATCAAATTCTATAAGGGAGGGAAAAGAAGAGGGGGCAGGGGAACTATTGCAGGAGGAATCAGATTCCTCAGCCATGTCAATCTGCAACAGATATAAGAAACTGATCATTTAATACTGGAATTGCTAGCAAAATTTTTTTAATCATCTGCTTAGATGTAAAGTAAAATAATTCTAAAAATTGAAATTGCATGGATGATTAACATTCATATGTGTAACCTATTTTATTCATATAATATTTGTACTTCTTGTTATGTACTTCTCAGTGGATTTTAGACAATTGCAATATTATTGGACACCTTCAGCATTTATGGTATAGGAGAAATGATACACAAAGAAAATAAAGACTGAAGTATAAACTATTTGAATAAATTGTTATGATGGATTAAATTCAAATCTAATGATGGATTAAATTTTCTCCAAGATAAAAATGTATTCTCATTTTAAAAAAAGAAATAGTGTCTCTTACCTAAGACCTCCATATTTTTCATAGCCATGACCATAAGAATCATTTAAACCTGGTCTTATTTTCTACACAGACTCCCCCCCCCCCCCCCCCCCCCCCCCCCCCAAAGAACACTGGTATAGTGGCAAAACTTCGATATTGACAGAATGATTACTACTGGAATGTTTGTGCTATGAATACTTTTGTGAAAGCCTGGAACACACGCATCAAATGCAAAACTTCCTCTTTGTCTACTGGGTGAATGGAATACATATGGGACAAACTAAAATGTTCTACTAATATGTTCTAGGCTTTAAACAATGTGTTTCTGCAATAAGCATGCATCTTTGATTTTACTTCAATAACACATATACAGTAAAATACTCAAGTCTATATACAAGTACATATTATATATATATATAATATAATTTTCAAACAGTAAAATGAAATAAAAAGCAAGCAAACTCAATTCCTGATTCAAATTCATTCATCAATGAACAGTGAAATAAATGCTTTGATGACAAAGAGTACATATTGGGAGATGGGTTGCAGTTTTTCTTCACACCAACAAAAGGTCAAAATGTAGCAGATGATTATTTTTCAAATCTGAATTTATGCAAGTTAAAATCAATATACCAGAAAGGAAGGCAAATATAAACTATAGCCAAGAATCACTCAATTTGTGGAAAAAAGTTTTTTTCTAGCTTGAAACTGATCTTCACAATATTTTCAGGCAAAAGAATGGTCATACATGAAAAGAAGCCGAATTTCAACCCCCTCCTCATTGAATAATTACTCATTTTCCTGCTAGCTAGTTTCATCATGATTTTTTTTTTTAAAAATACAAGCTGCATCTCAGGCACTTAGATAGCAAAGAAACCATAAGCAAGACTCTTCGGTCGAAGAAGAAATCGGCATTCAATTTTTTTTTTAAAAACCACAATAAATTAGCTTGTAAATGTAACCCACACCAAAACACAAAACTGAAGATTTTAAAAAAAAAAAATACCAATTACAAGAATGGTGGTTGAAATAATGAACATAACATGCAGCTTCAGCAAATGTGTAAAAGTGCAGTGAATGACCCAGGCATGATAAAGGCTGCTTCCAGTGCCAACATGTGATTACAGAGGGAGGAGACATGCGCCACTATTACCAGACATACCAAGGACAACCCCCGCGGGGAGATAAGGTCTTCAGCACTGGCCGATTTATTCAGGGCATTCTGGATGTCAGGGTCACCTAGCAGATTGATACTAACTCGGTTGTAAGGTAAATCCATTCCGGAGTCGTCCTGTGTCTTCTCCTTCTCTTCAATAATCTTGTACTTAGTCATCCTGTTAAAGCAATAGGTGTTTGTACTCTGTTACCCAATCTTACTGTTGTACAAATGAAACAACTTGTTATTCCTAATTTATAAAAAATCTTTTTGCCTGAAGTATTAAGTAAAATGTTTCATTCACAAAAAAAAATACCTGTATACATGGAAGCTTATTTTCAAATACACGATGAATGTCCTTCTGGACACTGATCATGGGAAAATGACATTATGTCAAACACATTTCCTTTTTCAATTCAATGTCATGTAAATGAACAAAACAAGTGTTGGATGGCTTGTTATTATTTGAAAATGACTATTACCTTTCTTGAGTTCCAAAGACCTTTAACGACTTCACAGACTGTGTGTCAGGAGATTTCCCTGGCCTCATAGGCTGTCAAACAAATCATTGAAATTCAAACTGAACCATCAAAGCAATATATTTTGTGATTTGTGTGCCAAACTCCTTTTACCAGAATTACTTTTGCTAATAAATGTTTCAACAAACATGCCAAAAGCATGCCCATAACAGCCATGCATGGGATATCATTCAATTCATGCAGAGTTTAATTTTCAACATTCATTTTATTAGTTTTTTTTTCTTTTATATATATATATTTATTTTTACTTGTTCAAGCAGTAGCATAAATAAAGCTAGTCAATTGCATAAAAAAAAGAAACTTGAAAATCCATGCTCACTTGTAGTGAAGATTTATTTTCCTATTTGAAAATACGATTTAATTAAACTTCAGTGTTGAAAAAAAACTTAGTTAAGAAATTGAAACAAGAAAGATTTGAATTTTCTGTCATGAATTGACTGAACAGTGTGAAAAAAAAAGCAGGTATCACAAACCTAACTATGCAATGTACAAATAAAAATACCACATACCAAAATTAGAGAAAAAAAAGGCCTTCAGTTTTTTTAATGAGAAAATACAATTTCATATTTTTATTTCTGTTTACTGAACACAATAAAAGATTATTTCATTTTTGAGAAATACTGTTGTTAAGCTCTGTTTATTTCGTACACAGACAATATGTTAATATCTTCAGCTAAAATTTACTTAAATGTACTTATTCTGTTAAGAACAGGTGCTACAAACTTTTTGCATAAATCATGAAAATAAAAACTAAAGTCATGTTTATACAAGTAAAGTAAAATGAATAATATTAGCCACAAAGATTTTAATTTTTCATTCAAAGTTTCACAAGTGACCTATAAAGTGATAAAAAAAAAATGCATAGATTTATAACTAAGGTAGGTGGCAAAAAGGAAGAATTTTCAACATCACAGAAAGATTACAATTTCGTAATATTTTAGAAAAAAATATAGAAAAATCTATAGCAATGCATGCATCCATTTTTTTTTTTTTCATTTGTAGCACCTGTCTTTAACATATTGGTCTGCAAAAAGGTTAGAAAATTATGAATGTTTAAATTTTCTTAAAAGCCAGTCAACTAGCTTATATGTAATTTCAAATTAATAATAATATATGATCACTGAAAATTTTTCTTGACAAAGCCCATGTAAGTCTGTGTACTGTTTTTTGTGGGATTAGAAAGGCCACGCCCACTTACTCGCTGGGCATGCAGATCTTGTCCCAGATTGATGGTTTTCGGTCGATGTTGACGGACCCCAGGTGAACGGGAAGATTTACCTTCATCCTGAAACACATAAACTTTCAAGGGGGCTGCTAGTAAAAACTCTTCCTTATTTACATTAGTTTTAAATACGGAAGTTGAAGTTACTACAGATGTGTAAAAAAAAAAAAAAAAGCATGCTGTGCAAGTAAATTTGGTTAAATTGAATTCAAATCTGCTAATATGAAAATTTTGGTAAAAAAAAAAAAAAAACAAAACAAAACAAAAAACTGAGTGCTATTGGAGAATTGTAATTGATATACATATGTACATAATACAGATGTATCTATAACCAGGAAAGATAAAATGCAATAAATTTATATACTATGTATGCTTGCTGAAAACATATATGAAATAAATAGTACATAAATATGTGAATTTTATATCAAGGAAATTGTCTTCACATATTTGTGAATTAATTTATATTCTGGTGTTGCTTTTTCACAAATAAGTATGGCCATGCATTGTCATTTGATGCCTGTACATATACATGCTAATGATATCAGCCACAACATTATATATAATGTATATGTACATTCATTCCACCAACACAAATCAGCAACTACATTTCTGCCATATAATTTCACAACATGTATATATTAACAACTTTTAATTAACAATACTCCTACAACAAACTGACATGAATTAAAACCATGATTTATAATGTCATTTGTATGAAATATTTCAATTTTTTGAAAAATGTGTTTTTTGGATGTGCCAGTGCTAAACATTCAAATTTGGTGTAATAAATTGAATTTAAAATTCCAGTTTAACTGTTACTACATGGGAAAAGCAAACTTAAATATACAATAAAGGGAGGGAAATCACTGCCATTTATTAGTGAAGCTTCTGCTTTAGCAAACTGGTTGTTTAAAACATTTTCTCCTTCCCTTAATTAAGTGACTGTAATTCATTCTGTGCATCCCTACCTTGGATTTTTGAAGGTCAGTGAATTTTTCTTTAAAGTTTGAGAAATTTTTCTTCGTTCTGTCTCGAATCTACAATGAGAAAGGTATAGAAAAAGGTAAAAAAAGTCAACGATTTTGTACAGGTGTGTTTTCATTTTATCATTTTTTTAAAACCATTTTCCTGATATTTGGGTCTTCATACAGGTATTCAAATGTGAAAATATAAACAACAGATAAAATGTAACATTCAAAGTTAGTAATTTTGCCACTGTTAACAGCATGCTGCAGGACTGAAGTATGATTCATCTGATGAACATATTGTAATCTTACAGAAAATCTTAGAGAAATGCAATATAGCTAAGGCATATAATAGAAACTTCAAGAGCAAGTTCTTTGAACTGTCAGTATAAAAATTTAATGATAATTCATGCACAAAATTTCTTTTTCAATCTAAATGAGAAACTGAACAGTAATTTAAATAAAATGAATGTACTACACAATATGCAAATAAGAAAACAAAATCATGCAAATAATGGAAATCAATTTATCAACAACATGTAAATCAACATTTACATACTATGCTAACAGCTTCAAATTACATACTTTGTATTAGCCTCAGTTACTAAATATATACAACAACATACTGTTTAAACAAGAGGCTTTGTGTATTATGAGTTTTTCAGGCTCTGATCTACTCTCTACCTGAGATTGAAACTCTTTGGACTCAAGTGAAATAAAATTTTACAATTTTGTTAGGACTCTATTTTCAAAGCTTGTCTCCTATATGAATGAGTATAGTTTAAAAAAAAATAAAATGCATTATAAATATGCGATTAAAGCTGAACACAATTCGTAAAAGGCAGAGATCTATGTTTGTCCACCATATTACTGTGTATTTTACGTTAGCTGTACGCCCCTATATAAGCCGTTCACTTGGTCTGGGGTTCAGTGTAATCAGTTATCACCGGAGTGGATGGACCTATTCTATATAGCTATTGTAAATCTCTCTGTAGTGTCAAAACTGTGTTCTTCTTCCACGGCAGAAGAGAAATTTACCAAAGAAACTTACATCAGCTGCACAGGTCAGTGCAGTAAATAAACATAAATACATGTAAACTGCAAAAAAATGTAAACAACGGTCATGTAAGATAACCAACACAAACACAGGTCATCAATTCCACGCACGTACCCATGACAAGAAAGCAGTCAGGTGTAACAAATATGAAGGGATTACCCCAGAAGATAGGAAAACTAATATGGTGTATGCGTCGTATGAGTCGTGTTCAGCTTTAACTTATCCCCATCCAAGGTACTAAGCCCTGGGGATACAAAATTCAATTTATTTAAGGGCCCATAGCTTATTGTCATCAAGTACACTGTTTATTGCTAAATTTTCAGAAACAAATAAGATTTTTAAAGGTACATTATATGAAAAATTTTCAATATATGGCAAAATAATCCCAACCTCGGGCCTGTACTCAGATATGAATTTCATCATTTTTGAAAAATGCCTGCTTCCCATTATAATCTTACAGACAGTTTGTCTGCTAGATGTACATAAGACTGAAGTAAACAAGAAAATTTTCAAAAGTGAAATGTATTTTTCTAATATGGACAACTTAGCTAACCTGAACCCCTAACTTAAGGGTCGGTAATTTCAAATATTTGGCATGAGCTAATTGCTCATTGTACTCATTTAAACAGTTAAAGAAGACTTTTGAAGATTGCATTTTCATGCTTCGGTCACACCCCTCAGGCTCAAGGGAGGCAGAGACCATGAAATTATGAAATTCATTTTTTATTTCCCTTTACCCACAGATGTCAAATACCAAAATTAGTTGTAATTGGTTCAGCCATTCCTGAGGAGAAGCTGAAAAAGACTTCCAAAAGAGTAATGTATTTTCAATACTGGTAGACACACTGGGGCCTAAACCCAAACTAGTTACAGAGAAGTTGCTAAAAAGTTGATAAAAAAAATCATTATTGCAGCTAGGTCAAGGAGTGAAGCAGGCAAGCCAATTGCCCTGAATTTCAAGTACATCTTTTTGTTACAGTTGTTAAAGAGAATACAATTCTCTATCTCCTTTTTTTATTTATTTTTTCACCCCTATTTCATACAATACAGCTATGTATACAAGTGTTGGTTAAGCAGCTAGTGTGGTTAGGAGTGTAAGGTATTAGGATAATTTTTTTTTGTATTGGTTGCGACAATATACCATCTTTGCTATAAGATATGCAAATAAACTGAAACATAAGCATAGACAATGAACATACTGGACAAGACACTATGCTAATGCAGACTTACAGTATCCATCACATTGGTAACAGTTGGAGCCGCCTGTTTTATAAACGACAAGGATACAAATAGAAACCTAGAGACAAGACATCTCTTATATACCGTAAATCACTTTTTATTTTGTGAGAACTTCATTTTCGCATAATTATTTATCAGTTTATGGCTACTTGTGAAAAATTTCATTCTCACATACTGTATACAGGTTATTTTCGCCCCGTGTTATTTTCGTCCTTTCATACTTGCAAACAGTTTTGCCCCGTTTTAAATTCGCCCAGTCACAATTCTGTTTAACAAATTATACTGTGATTTTTGAATTTGCCCCGTTTTAAATTTGCCCACTTGTGTGTAGGGTGAAAGGGGCGAAAATAAAATAGGGGCGAAAATTTCCCTGTATACAGTATATTTTTATTTCTATAGATTATATAACAATATCAAGAATATCGGAAAGTGTTGTCTCTCTTATAAATACAATCTTGCGAAAATAAGGTGTCACAAAAATTTGGTGATCTATAGTATATGACATACATGTACATTTTTTAAATACAACCTAAATTATCATTTTACAATGATTACAAATATATATACAATGTATATGATTCTAAAGATCATATTACAAGTGTCTGCCTGTATAAATATTATGTCAACAATCCATGGTTTGTTTCATTAACTTTTCAGGATATTTTTTTTTTTGAATGCGAATATCTTTATAGTTGATTTGTGATACAATTTACATACATACAGTGTACTAATACTGAACACTAATAGCCACACTTAAAACATAATACATTTATGTATGATTATGTTAAAGATGTGCATGAGTGAAATGATTCAAATCCTGTGTTCCCATAAACAGTGTCAGAATCTTTTCAAGCTCTTTGTAAAAAAAAAAAAAAAAAAAAAAAGAAGAGTGTACTTTTAATTACAAGCTACCTTTTCCTTGAAGTCTGCCCAGACATCTTTGCCTCCTCTCTGAATTCTTTTACCCTGCGACTGAAAAATAACATCCACATGGTCAAATTTATTTTATGTATCTTTCCTTTTGACCTTGACAAACTTACTAAACATTACGATACCTGTACCAGTCTTTATAATAAAATTCAGTTGTTTTTACTTTTTTTACATTTTACCTTGACATTATGAAGCCAGTCTTTGTAGCGAGATTGAGTATTCAGTCTGTCTGCTCTTGTCATGGCTTCTCTCTCAAAAATATCTGTGAACCCCTCTCCACAGTTTAACATGTCCAATCTCTCATTGATAAACTAAAATATACAATCAAATTAAAAATAATTTTTGTTGTTGTCTGGAATTGCAAGTCTAATATGAAATTTACAGAAATGAGCCATAGTTTTACAAAAGAGTGTTTACTGTATACAGGGTTATTTTCGCCCCATGTTATTTTCGCTCTTTCACACTTGCAACTAATTTTGCCCCGTTTTAAATTTGCCCAATCACAATTCTGTTTAAGAAATTATACTGTGCTTTTTTAATTCGCCCCATTTTAAATTCGCCCATCTGTCAGTAGGGCGAAAGGGGCGGAAATAAAACGGGGGCGAAAATTTCCCTGTATACAGTATTATAAGTCATTGTATTTCTATCAACGGCTTGAAAACAATCAAATAGTAGATGATTATATACATTGTATATAATTAAAATAAAGATGAAAGAAGTATTACTTCTTGAAAAATTTGTAGATGAAGAATTTTTTCTAGGAATGGTTGCATATTTTCTGGTCTAGACTGTACAAAAGCCTGAGGATTAAATGTAATCTCTTCTCCAGGATGAAACTTTAGAGCATCCCTGTAGCCTCCTACAAATAAGCATAAATATTATATTTTTCAATAACTACATGTGTATTTCAAACAGGTTTAAAATGGCATCAAATAAAGAGGTGGAAACAAATAAATTCAACTTCACAGCTTTGATAAAGAGTGAACTCAAGTATTTCTTTTTATTACAAAAATTTATACCTATTAACTTGACAAGGGCCATAAGGAAGGTTTTTGGAATGGCATCACCAGAGGTTGCCATAGTATGTGCAATCTTGTCCTTCTTTAGATGTTTCTTCAAGTAGGATTGCTACAAAAGACAATAGATTATACTAAGTAGCCTATAAGTATGACTTTTTTAAAAAAGTTTCCTCATTGCCCAGTGATAGGCTCTCTCTGTCTTTTAAAATAAGATTTCACCTTATGGACATGTAATTATTGTTTATGTCTTCCATATGCAGTGTAATAAAAGTGATAAAAATCTATGAACCAGAATTCTCTAATGAGACTGTAGCTCTACTGGTTTGCACTTGTAAAATACCAGTAGAAAGGCCAGCTGGATATGATACACTCTTTAAGCGTTTTACATTTACTTTATTTTGTATCCTGATGTTTTCTTTACTTGTACCAAGTTTTATTGAAATCAAACCTAAACTTATAGGAGGAACAGCATTCTGAAATATTTTCAAAGATTATTCTTTTTTAATAGCCAGTACCATTGATTATTGAAACCAAAAGTGAAATAAAGAATTGTGTACCTTGGTGTAGTATATCTATGAATTTTTTTAATTGAAATCAGTCCAAAACTGTTTGAAAAGTTTACTTACTGTTTAGAAAAAAATCAGAGAAATTTCATTTTCAGAAACCATGGCAACACTACTAGCCAAAAACAAAGATTGATAAATTTATCATATATCTAATCATGGTGTAATCTACTTGTATACTAAGATTTACTAAAATTGGGGCAAAACTGTAGGTGGAATGGTGCTTTTGAACCATTGTAGTCAGTTTATTTTTTCCGATTATTTTGGAGGAATATGCCATTGCCTGTATGTTGATATGATTTTTTGCCAGAATCAGTTGTTTATTCATATCAATATCCTATTGTATTTACCTGTGTTTCAAAGTTATGTTTAGGACATGACAAACGAGATTTGATCTTTTATTGTTATGCAATCAAAATAATAAAATCTGAAAACACTTGTATTCAAAAGGTAACCTTAAATGTTCATTTCCTGTATGAAATGACCTAATGCATATGTCCAAATACAACAATAATTGTCTTGAGTTGTTAAGAAAATATCACATTTCGTTGTCTAGAAAAAACACAGTTTCTAGGACTCGCTTATTAGTGATATTTGAACATTTAGTTTGGGACTAAAATATATCACAAAAATCGGACTTATTACTTACATGTGAGTATAAAAGGCACATCATGTATATATGTGTATTTTTTACACAAGTAGTTTAAATTAAAACTTACAATATCTGATGGCAGTTCTTCCAAATCATTAAAACAGTTCTTTATAATTTTATTCTCATCAACATCCACTACGACAGCATCACCTAGTTCACTGTCCCTCATTTTCTGTATGAGAAAAAAAAAAAGAAATCAAGCCTTTCTTTATACTTAAGGCTCAATATCAGTGCAATACAGAATACAAACTAATCTGATAAAGAACGATGACTTACCTCTACTAATGATTTATGAGCTCCTATTAAATATGGCATTGGTGCACTGTAAAGATGAGAAATTGAATGCATACTTGTAAAACACGAGCCTCATCAGTATTAACACTTTACATTGAAAAGCATTATGCATCTCCACATTAGCAGTATATGTACATGTATATTGGTTGATTAATACTTAATTCAACTAACCTGAGGTAGTCAATAAGGAAAGCTGGTAGAACTGGAATGAATAAGTGTTGCCTGGGAAAAAAAAACAAAAGCAAATGAGAAAGCTAATTCAGACTTCCATATGCACATGTAAACCAAATAAATTTTTATCCTGTCTGATCAGAAATTTACTAGACTTACCAGTGCATTGGGTAAAGGAGAGTTGCAGAAGCATGCACACAAGCCGTCAGCCGATTCAGTCTTTTGGACGTTATCAAAATACGCCGCTCATTAAGCATGCTGGCAAAAATAATCATCATTTTCTCTGTATCCACAGCATTGTAATACTCTGTTAAATTCCTCTATGAGAAAAAAAATACCAGGCATAAATTAATAATCAGATCTGAAATGTTTAACATTTTTCTGAGTGCACATCTTGTATGATTATGTCAGTATTTTAAAACTAGCATATCAATGCAATGATTTAAGGAATCACTGTCTAGTTAGTAGAGTATGCCAGGGAATCAACGATAGTTGGAAACGTGGGATAATTTGCATAACAGGCGAAGCCCGTTATGTATAAATTATCCCATGTTTCCAACTATCGTTGATGTCCCTGGCATACTCTACTAACTAGACAGTGATTCCTTATATTTCCATTTCATTGTGAAATAAAATTGTAAATTTAGATTTTAAAAATGTAGACTAATAGATTTAAATTTCACGAGGCCTCACATGTCAATTTCAATAGTCCCCGCCCACTGATGTCAAACATAAAGACAGCCGCACGAGAATTACATGCATATTAGACCTCCTTAGAGTCAGACACAAAGACAGCCGCACGAGAATTACATGCATATTAGGCCTTCTTAGCTCCTGACCTTTCGCTTGGCGAAATTTGCATTCCGTTAGAATGATCAAGAAATCAACTCTCCTAACTTTCAAAGAGTTATCACAGAGAAAACAAATAGAAATGGAAATATATAACCATATGCAGTGGCCTTTTCCAAATTCATTATCATTCTCTAGCAAAAATTGTTTACTGTATAAAATACGTCTGAACTTACACTTGTGGGAATACTTGGAAGTTTTTCTAGATCTGGTGGTGTGAATTTCCAAACCTGCAAATTACAGAGTTATCAAGCATATGAAAAAAAAAATATTTAACTTAAGGTATGTCACTCGTCAGCCTTTTAGAAAATTTCAGTCAGAACCTCTTACTTAAAAACTATTTATTACAATTTAATCTTTATAACATATTTAAATTAAACAATGTAAAATGTTCAACATTCAATTAAAAACTGCTCAAAAATTCATAAAGAAGCAAGATTTATAAGGGACTATTTCTTGTGGTGGAAGGATATTTAGCAGAAAATTCTGCAAATCTACACATTTATTAAATTTAATATCTTGGAACTTTAGCCTCACATACTTTTACTCAGAGAATATTTTCCGTTATGATATGGCTGGAATATTAAATATAGGTCTCAATTTATATTTTTATAACAAAATTTACACCTTCGCTCAACAAACCTTGCCAAGAAAGGAAGATATATTACGGAAATTGAGATAAAATTTACACAGTTTTTTGCCAGAAAATCGCATATTTTGACCAATATTTCAAAATTTACATCACTGACCCCAACTTTTTCTTTCATTATTTTAAACTACTCGATACTTTTGACCAATCAGTACTTAAGTTGTAAAATGTTTGATACAAGAAAATATTCTATTGCCTATTTAGATTTTTAATACCCCAAATATGAGACTTTTTTAGTGCAAAAAGGTTACAAAATAATTTACGCGCATTAATTTGCATGATTTGTTCAATGATAAATATTATTCAAACTATTTTACGTAAAATAAGATTATGTTTATTGTCATGGTTACATCTGATAAAATATGATAACGGTTAAAGTGATTAACCAAAGAGTTACAATTTAAGTGCAAAAAGGTCAACTTAATTGTACCATAGCTCAGTTAGATGTACACTGACCCCCCCATTTTCTCTGCGATTTTGAGTCATACTATATGAGTACTTATCCAAAATATACTTCTCAAAAAATCCTTGATATAACAAATTTCACGAGTGACATACCTTAAAAATCATTCAATTACATTCATAGCAATACCAGACACGAAAACAACAGAACCATATTTTTTTATTTTGCCATATATAAATTCTTAAAATTTAAAAATCATCACATGTACTTCAATAGCAAAACCAGACACAAGAATCTAAGAACCATACCTCTTGTCCTGCCACAATAGTGGTTGGCACATTAGCAGAAGGGACGCCATTAGCGTATGCTGCCCGGAGGAGGTTTGTCACATCATTGTCTTCACTTCGGTTGATCATTTCTGCCAGCAGATTGAGGAGGCTGTAGAACACCTCGAACCAAGGCAGGCAGCTGGAACCAGGCAAAATATGATTAAATTGTGAGATGAACTGATTTTAATTGTTACTTCATGCATAATAAAACTGTAAATGTGATACTCTAATTATATTTAACAAAATTGAAAACAAAAGGTTATTAAAGTGCATATCCATATAATATGTGTCTTTTATACAGCTGTATGAGAAAATATTTATTAAGATTGTTCTTGTGAAATTCTTGTAACATTTATTACACAAAAACCATTAAAATGTACACATATCTACAATGATTACCTGACAATGCACAAACATGTCTGAGCTCCCGTGGCATAGCGGCAATACCCGAACTTGTATTTACTTTCCAAGTCAGTCAAAACAAAGGTAAAGTGGTCCACAGTTGTCCTGGGTATAAATCAGAATATGTTATAAAATTTGCCAAGAAATAAGACTCTAAAACTTTCATTAGTGGACGTGTTCTCTCTACAGGTATGAACAGTGTGATGCATGCATGAGATGATGTGTTACGAAGTACCAGTAAAGTCTGATGCTTCGAATGAATCAGTCTGATTTTTAGCAGTAGACTTAAGTATTTCTGATTATATATGCATTAGACTCAACATACAACAAAATGCAAACTGTTACTTTTTTGTAAACTGGCAAACACTTTTACATGTAGAAGAAATTTAAAACTGTTATTTATTCCGTTAATGTCACAATTCATCATAATAGAAACAACAATTTGTTTTGTCAACTAGGAAACTATTTAAATACATTAACATGAAATATACCAAAAATCCTTCAAACCTGTGAATCATCTAAAAAACTGCTTTGTCATTTATGTGCATTCCCATGTGCTTTTAATGTATACATACACACCTCAAACATTGCTCGACATGGAATGTTACTTCTCAGACAACTTCAAACCGAACAGTTAGTACAATACATGTGTTAAATGGTGATTCTAGATTCTAGTTCTGTTTAAACATTCCCTGGCAGTGCGATATTAAAACTAAAAACTAGCTTATTATAATATCCATACAGAATACCAGGCACGTGATTAGTGTACTATGAATTACGACTAGCTAATGTTGATTTTCTAGTGTATTAATTATCATGATTATAAAAGTGTTAAGGGGAAAGAATAAGCCTCTCAGATCACAATCTCTGATAAAAACTGACTGCTAAATCTTTTTCTTAAAGAAAATAAAAAAGATGAATTTTTAAAAAATATCAAGAGACAAGTTCAAATACTTCAGTGAAATGATTTTGATCAAATGCAATGAACAATTCATGAGATCAAATATGCAGCATTCATATATATTTTTTTTTATAAGATAAAAATACCACAGTTTATCAAAACAAGATAATGAGTGATATCCTTTGACGCGAGTCTGCACTCCGAGAAGCCATACAAAGAGGTCAGCGAAAAATGGTTAGTAAGCCCCAGCCCATGAAAAACTTACGTATACCTGTCTGTCTCACAAGGGAAAGCAAAACTGGGTACTGACTTGAGGGTATCCTAATAATATAAAATGAACCAAAACAATTTAGTGGTAAAAAAAAAAATTGATTGAAAATCTGATATAAGATTATTCACAGGGGATTAAGCCTCTTTTTTTTAATTTATTCATAAATTTTTTCTTAGATTACTAATATGCAATGCAAACCTTGAAAAATTATTCTTGGGTATAAAACCATGAAATTTAAACATGTAAACGACATTTACAATAATCTGATTCATTTTTTTTTTAATTTCTTAAGATATCTCATTCTCAAACTTAAGGTATATACAGATTTAGGACTAGACTTCCATATTCTGAAGTGCTCCTATTTAAACTTTATTTTCATGATGGGCGTGAAGATACATTAATTATATTGTTAGACACCATACATGTACATATATGGCAACCAATTTAAAAATAACTTACACTCTCACATTACATTATTGCTGAAATTGAATATTTTATTGCAACAGGTTTTCTTAAGGGGAAAAATGCAATTAAATTAATCAAGGTTTTCACTTTTATTGATTATGAAGATTGCTGAGTGAAAATGAAATCTCTAATGATATGAAACTCTCACTGATAGTTTGGAATTCTCTCATTAAAAACATTTTTAATCATGGTTTGGACTTTTGGGTGTTACTGACTACTATGACATAAGAATCATATCTCTTCACTGAAGGACATGCTTTAAGCAATCTTTTTAACTCTGCCAAATTTACCATTTTATATATAAAATACTCTGTCACATATTACACAGCATGCATCACTGTTTGACAACTTGATGTGAGGAAAGTTTAAGCATGTCACTCCTAATGAAAGACTTGACTTGAATTGAAATTGTATAAAACAAACTAATCCAAAAGTTATTTTGTTAATTTAGTAATGTACAATAAATACAAGTAGTTTAAGTACATATGCATGTGTTAAGTACATATGTATGTGGTGTTCATTATCACTGATATGCAATCATGTGACAGGAATAAAATATTTCAAAAAAATATCCACTGAAGTAGAAACCAAATTACTTAGCTGATATGGAAATCATAATAAAATTAGGTTGTAATTCATGTTATGTTAATTTTCAATATCTATATATCAATACACTTAAGGAAAATCATTTACCTCATCATTAAAAGTTGGAGGATACTTTTGGACAATAAATGTTCCCTCTGAAAAAAAAAGATAAAATAAAATTCAAATCTCCTTAGCCTTCAAATTGAAATCTGTAAACAATGTTAAATGGGCCTTTGACCCCAAAACAAAAATTTCACACACTTTTCATAAAACTCAAATATTTCTTCAATCATGTGACATTTTTGCACATACGCTTCCTTTGACAAAATGATTCTGGGACAAAATCATTTGTTTCAGTAAGAGGTGAGGTTTAAGTACTTCCCGAATTCTAGTGCAATTACAAAGATATGACACTTCAGACTAAACAACTGGTGTGTAAAAATATAACTTTCCCAACGTTTTGTTTTTCCTGACTTTGGTATGAAGCACTTCACTTACTTCCATCCTTATCTCCGTCAGGCTTGGCTACTTCAAGGAAAACTTCAAATATTCTCTCAGGGTTTGCCCTTGAAGACAATTAGAAATCACTTCAGATTGCAATTGAAAAAAAATCAAATTTCAATGGATAAATGAGGCTTGTGTGTGACTCCTGCTGTTTTCAATCAAGATTAAACATTCACATTATTAATAGGAATTCTAAATTTTCTTGAGTGTTTATCAGACTCTGGCAGTTTATATGATTATAAAGCTTCACTTGACAGTCAATATATCCCTGGTACAAGGAAATTGTAAATTAATGAAACCCATTCTGATTACATGTACCAACATTACATCTAAATTACATTAGTTTTCTCAGCACAAGAATTTTGCACAAATATATCTGAAATGTAAATACTTCAGTATATAAAATCTTGCTTAAAACCCTGGTCTCAAAATGTTTAGAACTAGCATTGCATGTATATATTAAAAATTTATACAAGTTGAATTCTCCTTTAAAGGCTAAGTGAAATAACTCACAATTCTTTAATATGCAAGAGAATTCAGTCATCATTCATGTGATTATCATGCCAAAGTTTTGTCTTATATTTATCTATGCGTTTGTTTATATTGGACAGAAATTCTGTGCATGGCAGTATTTTATCCTCTTTTTCTTTAAATCATCAGTACAGTGACACTCACACCACACTGCACATTTCCTAAAAATATTCAGCTAACCATGCTAACTACATTACTTACAATTTTATTGTTTACCTATCAGGTATTTATAAGATGTATTCAAAATTTTAAAACTAAGTTAAGAAATACTTATTTTTTGTAAATGATAAAATCACTATTTGAGCTAAACTCACAAGCCATGTACATGTTTATCAAATGTATATGTACATGTTTATCAAATGTATCTTAATATATTAATTTACCAGTCATACACAATTTTCAATTTATCCTTATCTTTATTAACATACTTAGTGGGGTTTCACTTTGAAATGGTGTATCACTTAAGCCTTTCCTATCAAATTAACTGATAGCAATTTGCTGCATTTTATGCACAATGTCAGAACTAAGCAAGTAAGATGAGGAAATCAATTTTGTGAAAAGAATTTTTGCTTAAAAGTAAAACTGTAAATACTCAATATTTAAGATAAGAGATATAAACTGCTTTAAATTTCAAAGCAAGTGTAATATTGTGTATCTATGAATCTATTTTTACAAAGTCCTTTTTCAATAGAAATAACATTGTCATTATTTTAACAAAAGTTAGATTCACAATTCTAAGAACTGAACTGTATAAAACCCCATACACAAAATGTACCTAAGACTGAAAATAATTCTTGCTTTCTAGGGAACCTAAGCTCAAACAATGAACATCAAAATGAAATGTGATGGTTTTTAAATGCAAATAGATCTTTGCCAAATAGCCAGGAGATTGCTGACTCATCTCCTTCATTACATAATGATATTCCTATAAAATAATTTGACTTCAAATAATGACCTGAAGAAGGGTTATGAAAGTTAGACGTACATATCTTTAAAAAAAGAACTATGCTAAATTCAACAGATACTGAACTACATTTTCATGTCTGCTGATGATCTTGTTTATTAACTTTCAGTACAATAGTCAGAATAAAACATAACAATGCAAATAAATTGTTCATATTGAATTTCAACAGATTTTTATTATAAAAATAAGAAATACTCAAGAATAATAATCAATAGCCTCTGACAGAACTAAAAATTCCAGTAGGTTTAATTCAAATATAACGAACAAGATGAGAGCAAAATCAATAGGATTAATTTTATGTTAAGATAGACCTTTGACGCCAGTGAACCATGACACGCCTTCAGTTGACACTATCAAAAACATCTCATTATCGACAAATAAATACCTTAATCGTGAACCCATTTCACCAGATCTTTGGCCAATGACTTTCTTTACCGTTGTCCATCGCTACATTTTAGAATTCTTGAAAAATCGATGCTGAAAAAGGATATTTTTGTAAACAACAATTTTCATCCGTTTTGACAGGAAGTGACCAGCCATTGATTCGGATAGTCTCGGGATTACTTTAAATAGATAAGTCGTACCTAAAAATCCAAGGAATCTCAGAAGAAAAAGGGAAGAACTCTACATGTTTTGATGAAAAATATATTCAAAACTAACACAAAATAAGTACTACTCATTAATAAAAGAATGATTTTTGCTTTTTGTCTGGACATATACTGTGAAAAAAAAACTAATCGAGGAGTTCCGAATTACTACTTTCGTTTTCCATTCTGACATTGACAGACCACAGTATGCAGTAAAGGTATAGTAAACATGATCCAAAAAGATTTTTCAATTGCACCAGCTATTTTTTCTTTAAAATAGACGGTTACAGATAACGCTGGAGATAACATGATTACATATGTTTAATTATTTCAGTTGTATTCAATGAAATGAAAGGGAAAAAAACATCAAATTTTATGTATACTGTGTACATGTATTATATCCCTTTTCATGGGATTATGAAATTCATAATATTTGTTCCCCTTTATCCATAAACGCTGTATACAAAAATTGGTTGAAATTGGTGAAGTGGTTCTTGAAAAAACTGAAAATGTTCAAAAGTTTATGACTGATGGACGATGATGGACAAAAACAGGTAGCAATAGGTCACTCGAGTGACTCACTTGACCTTAAAAACATACATTGATGTTATGAAATCAATTACTAGTATATTATAGACACACTATATACAGGTATTCTCATTGATTTTTTTTCTTCAGAAAACAGACTGCAGGAATCAGATACTATGAGGATTATAAAAAGATGTTACCAATCTGCATCATTCCACAAAAATCTCCATGTTCTTTTGAAGTTTTGTGTATGCCCACTTTCAAACACCTCTTACTCTGTACAGAAAACTCTTCGTAAAGGTATGAAAGACATTGCCAATAAAAAGAGTTCAACTTCACTAGACCTCAGCACTGTGCAGTGCATTCACACACAGAGTAAGAATGAAATGGAACCTTGGGAAGCAATGGTTGATTACTCAAAGTTATCTCCCTTGGAATTAAAAATTCATCAAAGACATGTGGCAGCTAACAGAGTAAGTTTTAGTAAAATACAGAAGTAGCATATACAGTAAACTTCTCTAATCTTGATGTTGTTTATTCCCAAATCTTGCCTAAAACAATGTAAACTTTATGTCCTTTACTTTAAATTTAATTGTTTAAAATGTTGTCTAATACGGAATGTTGTCTAATCCAGCCAATTTTTCTTTGGAACCAGTAGTGTCTGGATTAGACAAGTTTTACTGTATATTACAGACTCTTTCTCTCAAAAGAAACAGATTATCTTCCAGTGTAAATAATAATTAATTCAGCAACATTAGCAGTTAAAGGCAGAAAAACATGGAATTTCTCAATACTTTAATTGAATTTGATTCATTTTTAGGCTGGAAAGCTCTTCTATGTAGATCCACAAACTGGATATCAAGTAATGACCAGACTGTCTCACTTACAGCGTGGAGAATGTTGTGGAAATGAATGCCGACATGTATGTACTTCTGATTTAAAAGTATTTTAATCCTCAGAATGTGTATCATTTTTGTGTCCTTGTGTGTGTGTGTGTTGGGGGGGGGGGGATTCTTGCATTTCAGCAGGGAAAAAGTATTTCTGCATAATATGTAATGTGTCTTAAAATTCAGAGCAAAGGGTAATTCTTTTAACAAAGTACCAAAAAACATGCTTTTACATGTCCTCCTTACTTTTTAGCTCACCAGAAATTTCCTGATAGAAGGGTGTTTGTTTGTAATGTGCCATCCGTAAACTTCTTCTCTAGAACCACTGGGTTACATTCAACCAAACTTGCTACATAGCATCATTTGGTGAAGGTGATCTTTTTTTCAACTGAAGACTAATGACCTCTTTCAAGGGGAGACCCTTAAGAAATAATGAAAATACAATGGTGTCATTTAAAAATCTTCTCAAGAAAAATAAACTGAAGAAAAAAAACTTTCTTATGGAGTGTAGATTTAAGTTTTTTCAAATCATCCCCCCAAAGCTAGGGTTGGGCTACAATAGGGGGTCAATTTTTTAACACTGAAATATAAAAAGGAAATATTTTAAAACTCTTCTCAACAGCTAGGTCCCTTTTAGTCATCAATGTGCAGGCAACCTTATATAGTGAAAACTCAAGTTTGTTCAAATCAAGACTCCGCAGTGCTTGGTTGGGGCCATAATAAACTTATAATGTTAAGGAAAAAGTCTTCAAAAGTCATCTTCTTAAGAAAACAAGGCCACATGAAGTCATACTGAAAATATTCATTCCAATAATGTCAATTCTTAAGTTTGTTCAAAGCATAGCCTGTATATCTGCAAGAACAAATAGGCAACAGTTTGTAAACCTGACATTAAGCCTCTATATATATTAAAATTGATGAAATCATATGCTTTTGATTGGTGACCACAGTAAGGAGTTTCATTTATTTGTCATGAAGAAAATTGTGACTCAGGAGAGCATCATGTCCCAATGGCTTGTTATTTTCTGATTTTAGTGTCCATATGGCAGGAAGAATGTTCCAGATGACAAGAGAAGAAAAAAATTCAACTCTGCTTTCTATGTTTGATAAACATTCCTATATAGAAATACTCTTTGATGCCTCAGAAATATTAAAAATAAAACATTAAAAGCAACATCATGTGTTTATTTTAATCTGTTATACAGAACAATTGAATAAGTACATGGATATAACAGTGTGTCCATTTAATGACAAGCAGTATTTTTTCACTGAACCAATTGATTTAAGAGCATATGTAGTAAAAAAAATATATCATGCCTTTTGAAATTTAATCATGAATATTATCCATGTAGTTTGCTCATGACTGAAGGTTCATAACATGAGCAAACTGTTCACAAGCTGTACTCATGTGTGGACCTTCCCAGAATATCTTCCCACAGTTTACACAAATATAAAAGAAATCCACTTTGTCAAATATTTTCTGAGGAACAGTGTCAATCATAATATCTATGCCTGTCTTCACAAATGAAACACTTGAACAGTCAATGCCATGTGTAGTCGACATATATTTCTGCCATCTATCCTGAGATGGAGTTCTGTCCCTTGGTTTTCCCTCCTTATATTTTGTTGATATTTCTGACATTTTCCTAACATCTCTACATGGAATCTTAAGGAAGAAGTCACTGTTACAAACCTACTGGTCAAAATAAATCAAAACACAATAAGAAAAGAAATCAGTATTGCATATTACACACATGTATTACATAATGTGCTTTATTTTTAAATTTAATGGCTCTCATTTCATCCTATATCTGAAATTAGACACCATTAGAAATCATTTTGAAACTCACTTTACATCGACTGAATATGTCCTCTTTTGTGACCCTGACTTTAAAATGCTTCAGAACATCCACAATTTGCTCCTTTGCTGGCAGAGTATTTATGACATGAAAACACCTTTCTGATCCTACTTGAGAGCAAATCTGCAGAGATAAGGCAGAGAATGAAAAAAAAACAACAACGCTTTTTTAAAAACATTTTTGCATATTGATTTCTTTTAAATGTCACACAATTCATGAGTAATAGACTTGAATGCACACAGATATCCAAGATAATGATAAACTTACTGTTTGATAAGGCATCCCTGATGACAGTATAATTCTGTTTTCTTTGGTAGCAACCTGGAGACAAGAATACAATTTGATAAATCTGTTGGAAGAAAGTGTACACTCTCCTAACAAACAAACAGAATGTAAAGTTTTATTGATACTGAAGTTTTAATTTCAGCACTAAGGTTTTATGGCATTAATTTAATACATGTATACTTTTTCAATCTGGAAGAATAACTAAACACAATATTTTCAAATTAAGTTCTGGTTGGACTGAAAAGATACATCTCAGCACTCTACTCCATTAGTGGTTTACCTGTCTCTGTTTACTATATGAACTATCTAGGTGACCAGTTCCTAAAAAGCTCTGTGGACTTTTTAAGTGACAAAAAATATTTGTTGACGGTCTGTTCAGTCTCTATTATCATATTATTAACTACCTGAGTGACCAGTTCCATACTGTGAACGACAGTCCCTATTAGCATTCTGAACTACAGTGCATCTGGGTGTCAGTCCTTATTTGAATTATTGAAACCTTTGTGATGGTCCCTCCCTCTCTATAAATCTGGGTGACAGTCCCTTTTTGAAGTATTGACTACTTGTGTAACAGTCTTTATATTAACTATGTAAGCTATCTTCATGACAGCCTCTATTAACTCTGTTAAATATATGGGTGACCACTCCCTACTGAATGATCAATCTAGCATAAGAACTTTCTGGATGACCAGTCTCTAAAAAACTATCAACATCTGTAACATCTCCAAACTACATCTGGGTGAGCATAGCATGGGTGATCATTCTCTGTTACAGTTTAAATGACTAACCTCAATTGCTTTATTATGATCCTCATCATAGTTTAGTATGTAGACGTCTACCCCACATCCCCTTAGTTGTCGCCCAAGGCCTTGTAACATGGAGTCCACAACCACCCTCAGCTGACCAGGCTCCATCTCTGTCCCCAGGTAAGAGGCGTTCTGTGGTACCTGTCATCATGAAAACGTACAAACAGGATGTACAAAATGTTATATATAATCAGTGAACAAAACATTTAGGAAATGAGACACTGACTATGCACCATAAAGTAATAGATAAACATTACAATGCAAAAGAGCAAGGTTCACTTGTGGCCTTTTTTGGCCCTGTGAATTTCTGAAAAAAACTGTTCAGTTTCAATTGAAAATACACTAAATTTAATTGGACCCTTGGTGACTGCATATCTATTAAAAATGATGGGGTTTTCTTGCTAGTCCATGTATTATGACATCTTGAATTGCATCATTATCTTAAAATCCTGAAAATTTCTACAAAAATGGCCAAAAATTTTAGCTAAATTTTGCATAGTATCAACCTCTGATCCAAAATGTTCAATTATACTGTTTCATCAGATTATAATCCATGTTTTATTTTTTGGATCGAGGAGTGGGTACATACATGTATTTTAATTTTTTGCTGAAGGTATACTCAAATACACCCCATTTTCTTCAAAAATCAAGAACACTGCAATTTCACAAAGCCTGTTTTTCAATACCTGGACTCTCAAAGGAAACTTTTTTTTATAGGGAATGAAAGCACTAAGTCTCTACTTTATATTGATGTTTGAAATGGGACACTGGGACTTAGTCAGTTAATTGGTACATGCGGGGCCACTTTATGGATAAAGTGAACTTAGCTCTTTATTTTTAATAATTGTGAGTCACTAAAACTTTTCCATTTTAATGTTGAAATTAGCTTTACTTTTCTATGAAAATATATTTTTTCTTTTCTTTACCTGTGCCTTTGCTGGTTTTGGAGGCTGTTGACCCTTGGCTTTGGCTCTCAGTCTGTCTAGTTTGCTTTCCTTGCTCCACTTAACAGTGACTGCTGGTTCTAAATCAATGTTCATGTTCTCCCTTTTGGCAGTTTGAACCATGCAGTCATAGACTTCCAGCAGGACAAAAGCATCAAGTGCTATTGCAAGAAGTAAAGAAATTTAAATTACAGAGCAACTGTGAAGTTATTGTTAGCATTCAGTATATCCAAAATCATTTGATAATGTAGGATATCAAAAATGCAAAGACTCAATTTTCTAATACAAAATTCCATAATCTATTTTTTTACCTGCATATTGGACCTGTGTGGGACGTAGGGGTCGTTTCTCCCAGTTTGACATCTGTTCCCCTTTATTTAGTGGCTTGCCTAGACACTGACGAACTAACTCACTCAGACCTGAAAAAAAAATGTGTCATAACAACAGTGTATAAAAACTTAATTTCATACAGTATATCTGTGGGTCTACATAATTCAAGCATGCCTTTAATACATGTACATTCATGTATTACTTTTTTCCTATATATGCATGACACTGTCAATTACAGTAAAATGTACCCTTATGGTTTAGCAATCCACCTACCCCTCTCCTCGACTTTCTGGAATTTGATGTTGATTCCGCTGTCTTTATCCTCCAAACCCTCATCATCAGAATCTCCCTTTTCATCTGACATCAAGTTAATGGCTTTGTCTATCACCTACAATCAATAAAAAAGTGAGCATTCAAAACCTAGTTCAATATACAAGGTAATGGGTTCATTAGAGACATGTTTGTAGAAAATTCCACCAAATAGCCTCTATTTTTGACTACATGTAGATTGTTCAAGGAACATGTCTTACATGTGTCACCTGGAGGTACTCCATTATGATTTTAATATCTGATATTATATCATTTATATGGTATATGTAATGCTTTGAAAGAAGAAGGTACAATTTCAATTTAATTCTAGCCCTGTACATATCTATAATAAAACTTATGTATAATATGAAATTGTTGTAAAAAATTAAAACTCATGCTTTGGGAATTGAGATTGTTGTTTTTTTCATAATGACCTCCTAAATTCTAATTGTGACATTATGATCTTGTGGATTTTCCTGTATTTTCTTAAAAAGTAACTTCTCACAGACAGACAGACAGACACAGACCTGGCAAAGTGATCCCTATGAGTCTGTCGTACTACACAGGTGACAAAAAAAAGTTTAAAAATTCTAGTAAGATTTTTTTAAAAAAAATATGCTTCTTACTGTAAAGGATGTATTCACTATTACAAAAGAATTGACCTATTGGAGAGAACAATTTCCTGGAAAAAAGTGACATTTAAAAATCAACCTTTATTTGTTGTTTTCTACTGTATATATGCCTAAATTTTTCAAATTTGTATTTTACAACTAAAATTTATTATTTTTAACTTTACAATAAACCTCCAAAGTTGGGCAAAACACCATTTTGTCCATTAAAGCATTGATTTTTGCATGAATTTTGGCCTAGAAGTCCTTCAGGGCAGGCCTGCCCCTAAATAAGATTATGATATTTTGATAGGTTGGGATGTAAGGAATAATTTAAGATAGGATTTTTTTTAGGGGCACCCCTGCCCTAGGGTCGAAATTCACAGAAAACCTACAAAAATTTAGGAAATGTGATTTTGACCATCTGCTTCAAATTTATACCAGTCAATATTATAGTCAGAATAGCTCAGTTGATACATGCGTTGACTATTATATCGTGGATATTATCTTTTTAAAGTCGGGGGTTCGAATACACCTGATGCCACACTTTTATAGTTTTAAATTTTTGCATTTTCAAAGACTATTTTTAATTTTTTATAGGCTTGTTTATTTTCCTTCAATTATCTATCCTTTATGCATTCCCATTCTTGATATCAAAAACACTAGAGAGAGAGAGAGATCAAATCGTAACAATCCAATGTACAGTTGTCAGTCAGGCGGAACACTTTCTCCGAGGACAAGAATAACTCACTCAGTGTTACTCGATACAGGTATTCTCGGCAGCATTGAGCTGCGATGAATTTCAATTGTATATATTCCTTAGAATTTAATCACATTGCTTTTATTCCGTCTGTGCTACTAGTGCTTGTCTGGGTTACATGTAGTATGTTATGTATTGCTTGAATTATTTGAGCTTAATATATTTATAATAACATACATGTACTTTTGTTTTCCGTCAATGTTCTAAGATCTTAAGTTTTGAAACAGTAATTGGGCCACATATGTCAGTAACTGTACTCCCTTGGATTTCATTTAGGCCTATATAATTTGCACACATTAATGGCATGTTTTTATTATATCCACGGAATAGTGTTGTAAAATAAATAGCCTATACATAAAGAATAGAATTCCAGAGACAGTAGACATTACCATTATGTACAATGAGAAGTAAAGAAAAATTTCAATTATTACATTTGGAGATAACAAACTCAGAATATCAATGAAAGTGTTCCTCCTACCCCTACTTACTGAAATAAAGATTTATGAAAAACAAATTGTTACATGTATTCAGCCTCAAGTCTTTAACCGGAACGGAAATCGACAAGCTTTTCGTAGAGAAAAAGACCAAGCCCGGCCCTATAGGTCAGATCCCTATTTATATAGAAGTGAACCTTTGATACCTTTATAGCTAACTTTTCTAAATCCACTGTTCTTTTCATCTTGGTAAGGGGTTCTTTCAAGAAAGGATATGATTTCACCATCATTTTCAGATCAGCATCAAATCCATACCCTGAAATGATAGAAAAATTACTTCATCACTATACAATTCATCTTACAAATCCAATATCAGCATTACATTAAACCATGAATATTAAAATTTAAAGTTGAAATAATTTTAAAATTAATACATTTTTCATGAGCATTTTACTATATATATATAACTATGAATGTCCTTTCCTTAATGAAAATTTGAGATGGAAGTAAACACTGACCAAGTTTTAAAACATCCTCATTGCAAAACACCGCTGTGGCAAGTAAACCCCAGTCACTGCCCGATAAGACGGAATTGAGAGCTATCATATCCAGAAGAAAAATCTGATCCATAGTTGCAAACTGCATAAGGGCTATTCTGCAAAGAGATTGTAATGCAATGTACAGGTATGTTACATGTAAAAGACATAACACTATATGTAAAGTAAATTGTACATGTAATTGACAACAAAAAAAACACTTTTATTATGATTTTATTTCTTCAGAACCTTTCCATTTAGCAAAAAAAAAAAAAAGTTGTCATTTAAATCTTTCGAAAATGTAACTTATGTACATGTATCCCTCAAAACTGGTAAAGCATTTTCCTGACAAACCTTTGAATGGAATTTCCAAAAGATGGTTTCCACTCTGAATCAACTCCAACTATAAGGCCTGGCTGTAAATAAAATATTGTTTATACAGAATTTACGTAACATATGAAAAACTGCAACATCATCTTATTAAAAAATGAGGTCAATTTCTGATCTTAGAGATGAATACCTTGGACAGAAGGGAGATAAACTCCTGGTATTTTTCCTTGGTGTCCACAAACTGTATCTTGGAGGAGTCTAGTTTGAGTTTATAGTAATAAGCCTCCATGTCATCCACTGGCATCAGTTCATCCTCCCAGCTCTCCTCTGAAGGCCCAGCAGCAGTCTCTGAGCTAAGACCCCTGAATTATCATAAGGAGTAGTTCATTGTTAGTTTTCTTTACATAATTAGTATCATGTTTATTTCATTAAAACACTGATTCAATTTAAATGAAAAATGGAGTATATAATCTAGAGAGATTCAAAATAAATATTCTTGAAAGAGAAATTTTTCAAAAAGATGAAAATCATCTTACTCAGCCAACCGTTTTCTCTCCTCTATCACTGGAATGGATAATTTGTCATTAGGAAGGTCGTAAAAGTTGGCCCACTTTGCAGCAGCCTTGACCTCATTATAACAAAGCAGCTGTTCCACTAGCTCCAGCTGTAAGGTCTCATTGTCCCCCACTGCATTCTGCACCATGTCCTCCCAGCTTCCAGCAGCCATGCCATTCTAATTCAATGTAGAATAAGAAACTCTAGTACACAGTTTCTTCTCTTTCAGCATCTGGCTGGCAAACTATTTTCTAATTTTGGTAAACAGTATTTTCAAATACATGTAATATATAAAACTGATCAAAATGAATCTGAAATGCAAATAAAAGAGATATCACACCTAAAACTGATATACATGTACATATATAAAACTAATACATGTACAGTCTGTACGTTCTTCAGTGTATTCAAAATTTAGAGCAAATTTAGGTAATAGATTGTTTGGTGCAATCATGAACTTTGGGCTATACAAGGTTCCATATTTTGGAGGTGCACATACATGTAATTTAGCAAACTTACGATTGTATAAAAAACCATGAATCACTGCTATAATAAGTTCAGTATAGTACATACAGTACATGTAATATAACTTTTGCTTGAAACACTCTTTTTCTTATTGAAGCAGTTTCACAGATTCAATATGACTTCAGAAACATCTTACCTCTATGTATCTCTTGTACAGGAGAAATTTTAATGCTCCCAGACCTCTGGCTGTGACTATGTTGGGTATCAGATCTGGAAAAATTGTAGGAAACCCAAGTCTTTATACATTCATACATGTAAAACTTTAAATTTTATTGCAATTTTTCGCATATCCTACACTGTATCCTGACACCTTGTACACGTCCATTTGTAAACAAGGAAACAGAGGTAGACTTCCATTTAATTTAGTTAATAAACCCATTGAATTTATAGGTCTTCATATTTATAAAATCACCATTATTCAGGGATCGACATTAACAGTTGTCCGATTGCCCGGGACAAGTAAATTCTCAGTTCGGGCAAGTAAAATTGTCAACATACTTGTCCGATCGGGCAAGTGAATTTTTCTCATACAAATGTACATATTTATTTAGTTTACATTAATTTATAAATAAAACAATAAATTGAACGCTTGATTTACGCCACGCACCTGACTGACAATGTTTTGCATTCGAAATTCCTTGGAAGTGTTTCTGGATTTTACCGTTCATTTAAAAATCGAGTTTGTTGTTTTCTTTAGTAGGAAATAACATTCTACATCTAACAAAATTTTGTGAACTTCTTATTAGGAAATTAGGTTATTCACGCACAGAATATAAGTACAGTGTAACAGGTTGTATCCTGATCAAGGTAAGATGCATGTTTTGTAGCAACTATCTCCCTTAAGCGTTGCTTCACAGTTATTGCTGTAAATCATAAATCACAAAATGATCCTACCACAAATAATTTTCAAAAATATTTTTTTTTGAAAAGGAAACGGAGGGTTATTGCTGCATGGCAGTGTGTGTGTTAACAGGTTAAATTTACAAGTACAGCAGTCTACATTTATGTACAAATGCGGGATCGAAATTTTTTTAGGTACTTGGTAGCTCAACTTGCCAAATTGACAGTAATGTATTTCGTCACATTTTTTCTTTTCATAACGTTTGCAGTAATTAATAATTTTTGTCTTAAGTTCCATCCTAATTTTGGGCAACCAACTTTTGCATTCAGACAAGTCAAAGTTTGAGATCACTTGCCCAAAGGGCAAGTGTATCTGAAAGTTAATGTCTATCCCTGTTATTTTTTCTTCATGATTTTAAAGAGACATAATATTGTGACTGTGTTCTGCTGCACAAGATAGTGAAAGCAAAAAAAAAAAAGAATAAAACTTTTAAAGTACAGTATAGGTTAAACAATTGATAAAATGGATCTTCCATTGTTTATGATCAGATATGGTGGTTTTATGCAACTTGTTGTGAATTTTCTAAAATACACAACTCACTGAATAAAAATCGCACTCAATCAAAAACAATTGGATATCCTGTATACTGTAAAAGCAGAAATATTCGTTGGGGATTAAATTTCGTTTATTTCATTGTTAACAGTTATCAACGAAATTAAATCCCTCACGAAATATTTTATATGTCTATAAAGGGAATAGGGTTACTTTCGAAATAACGAAATTTAATGCCCACAAAACCTTTTTAGAGGAGAAATCAACGAACTTTTATCCCCACAAAAATATGTGCTTCTACAATATAAAGGATCTCCCAGGGATTGTGCTCAGGTATGACTTTTATCCAACAAGTTGTGTCTTTTCTTTCCCTAAACCTTGAAAAGGGGATAGAAAACACAAGAATTGGATTTAAATCATACAAGAGGCCCAAGGACCTTGAATCGCTCTTCTGATAAACTGTACAACCTATCACTTCTATTTGAAGCCTCTAAGTATCCTTTATATTTAGATAAACCCTTGAAATTCAAGTTCACATTCTGAGAACCCAAGATGATTCTAAGCCAATTAGTACCTGAGAGTTGGTCATGGTGACCTGCTTATCACTTGTCATTCTCTGAGGACCCATTAACTAAGTTTAATGATTCTAAGCCAATTAATACCTAAAATGTTTTTTTTTTAAATTATAGCCATAAAATTTTATAAGTAGGTCAAAGTGACCTACTTTTCAGTTGTTGTACTCCAAGGACCCAAGATGCATCAACTGACAAAGTTTGATGATTCTAAGCCAATTAGTACTTGAAATATTTAATTAAAGCCATAAATTTTCAAAAGTAGGTCACAGTGACCTACTTTTCAGTTGTTGTACTCTGAAGACCCAAGATACATCAACTGACAAAGTTTGATGATTCTAAGCCAATTAGTACCCAAAATATTTGATTGAAGTCATAAATTTTCAAAAGTAGGTCATGGTGACCTACTTTTCAGTCAACCTACTCCGAGGACCCAAGATGCATCAACTGACAAATTTTGATGATTCTAAGCCAAATAGTACCCGAAAAATATTTAATTAAAGCCATAAATTTTCAAAAGTAGGTCACTGTGACCTACTTTCAGTTGTCATACTCAGAGGACCCAAGATGCATCAAATGACAAAGTTTGATGATTCTAAGCCAATAAGTACCTGAAAATATTTAATTAAAGCCATAAATTTTCAAAAGTAGGTCACGGTGACCTACTTTTCAGTCAACCTACTCCGAGGACCCAAGATGCATCAACTGACAAATTTTGATGATTCTAAGCCAAATAGTACCCGAAAAATATTTAATTAAAGCCATAAATTTTCAAAAGTAGGTCACTGTGACCTACTTTCAGTTGTCATACTCAGAGGACCCAAGATGCATCAAATGACAAAGTTTGATGATTCTAAGCCAATAAGTACCTGAAATATTTAATTAAAGCCATAAATTTTCAAAAGTAGGTCACGGTGACCTACTTTTCAGTCGACCTTCTCCAAACACCCAAGATGCATCAACTGACAAAGTTTGATGATTCTAAGTCAATTAGTACCTGAAATATTTAATTATATTCATATAAATTGAAAAGTAGGTCATGGTGACCTACTTTTCAGTTGATGTTTTTTGAGGACCCAAGATGCATCAACTTACAAAGTTTTATGATCATAGGCCTCAAAATGTCCAAATTATGCCTCTAAAATGCTTTGAAATCGAATGCCTGCAAAGTTCAAAAAGTAGGTCACTGTGACCTACTTTTTAATAAATACATTTTATGGCCACAAGATGCATCATCTTACAAGTTTTAATGATTCTAAACCTTTTGGTATTGCAATTAATGGCCTTAATTGTTTTGATAAAGATTAGCCATAAAATTCAAAAAGTAGGTCAAAGTGACCTATTTTTTAGTTGACGTACTTCAAGGACCCAAGATACATCAACTGACAAAGTTTGATGATCATAGGCCTTAAATTGTTCAAAATATGCCTCTAAATCATTTTGAAAAAGAATGGCCCCAAAATTTAAAAAGTAGGTCACCGTGACCTACTTTTGAGTCAACATAATATGAGGTCCTTAGATGCATCAACTGACAAGATTTGATGATCCTAGTCCTTATAGTAAGCAAAATATCAACATTATAATAAAATGTAATTTTTGGTCAACTTTGAAGTGACCTTGAGACCACACCCTTTGCCCCAGGGTAAATCCCCGTGCAAATTTTAATCTACAACATATCCTCATCCTTTTGTGTAAGTTTGGTGATAATCTGCCCAGTGGTTCTTGAGAAGAAGATTTTTTAGCAACCAGTACTTTTGTTTCTATTTTCCTAATTATCTCCCCTTGTTAAAGGGTCACAACCCTAGTTATAGTATAAAAGGGAGCCCTTGGTCCAAGGATACCCTGTGACAAATTTGACAATAATTGGCCAAGGGGTTCTTGAGTTATGGCCCATATTCTAAAAAGTTTATGCACACCGCACAAATGGCCATAGCATTAGCTCTTTGAGCCTTTGGCTCAGAAGAGCTAATAAAATCACAAACCATTGAAAATTCTTTTTTATCACATGTTTTACACATATCTATCACATGTTTTACACATATCTATCACATGTTTTACATTGCTTTTTTATATGAATTAAATTTGTTTGACTTCACCACTTTCATGCAACTGTCACAACCATGGACATGAAAATGATATCATATGACTCATATCCACTGTATAAAGGAGTAAACATTTGAAAAACTTGTATACGGTAATCAATTATAGTAAGATTACAGTTAATTTTTGTTTTTGATGTTTTTAATACCATTAGGGATCTCATATAGCTTGGCCAGTCTTGTAGCTAGTTTATATATATTTCATTATAGTAAGATTACAGTTGATTTTTGTTTTGGATGTTTGTAATACCATTAGGGATCTCGTATAGCTTGGCCAGTCTTGTAGCTAGTTTGCTAATTGACTTTTTCTGCAGATGACTCATCTTGACATCAGGGACCTGCATAGAACTGGAAAAGAAAAAAAATAATGTAATAGACAACTGAATAATCTTTTGTCATTGTTCACTTAGATCTGTGTTGTAAGTATAACATTTAAGTATAATTTATAGTATAAAAGTATCTAGTGTAACTTGTGCATAAATTACGCAAAACATTATCAAGAAATGTTTAACAGTTTATTTTTTTAAATATATAACATTAACATGGAGTGTGAAATTGTGAGAGAGGATTGTTGCGAACTTGAAACATTCTGAGATCTCAATCTGCAACAACTTACTTTCTGAGATTGCAAAATTCCTATGACAAACCTGTTATTGCTAGAACATGGGACATACCTGAGATTCTGAGATATGAGACATAAACTGTACCTGAGGTTCTGAGAACATAAGACATACATGTACCAGATATTGTCAGAATATGAGACATTCAGATTGTGAGAACATGGGACATGCCCAAGATTGTGAAAATAGAATAGGAGACATGCCTGAGACATAAATGAGATTATGAGAACATGGGACTTGTCTGAGATTGTGATACCTTGAGACATACCTGAGATTGTGAGAACATGAGACGTACTTGAGATTATGAGAACATGAGACAAGCCTGAGATTGTGAGAACATGTGACATACATGAGATTATGAGAACATGAGATATACCTGAGATTGTAAGGACATTAGACAAACATGAATTTGTGAAAACATGAGACATACATGAGATTGTCAGAACATGAGACATGTCGGAGATTGTGAGAACATGAGACATACATGAGATTGTGAAAACATGAGACATACATGAGATTGTGAAAACATGAGACATTCTTCATAAGTACCTGACAAGATTGTTAATATTGTAGCTTTTATCACACATGTGATCTAGGAACTGAACAACCAGTGTCTGCTGTCCTGGATTTCCTCTGAGGTAGGTCTCTAGAAGGTTTAACTTGTTCTGCAGAATCAGGGGCACTGCTATCTGGAACAAGATTATAATGAATTAGTGAAAAAACTTTTTAAGCAATACCCAAATAAATTAAGCAAATATTTCCTGAGAGTATTACAACTGAAACATTTTTGTGCAAATGTGTTTATCAGCAAATATTAAAAATAAATACCATATGAATGTATAATACTTACCTCCTCAATTCTGAAGTGGTCTTGTAGACCCAAATGCCCTGCCAGCAAAGCACACTTGAAAAACAAAAAACATAGGTAATCAAAGATTACGAAGCTCACCTCGACGAATGTTATCTATAAGTAAGGCAAAATTTCACATCATATTTTTTTTCTAGTTAGGGTACCTCCCAAGATCAATATCCATGCAAGTTTGGTTTAAGTAGGACTTATAGTTACTTGGAAATAGACCTGCTCAAAAAACTTTTAACCTGTTTACTAATCAAGAAAATTTTGGTCAGCTCCAACATTCAAAGCAAGTCTGGAAGTTTCATCCTTATATGCACCATCTATGCAAGTTTAATCATAACAGGCCATAATTTTATATAGCTAATCAAAAAAAAAAATTACCCTGGTCACTCATCTAGAAAATGTAAGTCAGATTCAGAATCCAAAGAAAGTCTGGAAGTGTTCATCCCTAGATACATCATCCATGCTAATTTAGTTAAAATATTGCTAAAATTCACTCATGTGGAAAATCTAGGTCTGATCCAGCATCTGAAGCAGGTTGGTTAGTGTACATCCCTAGAGGCATCATCCATGAAGGTTTGGTCCAGGTAGGGCTTATAGTCACTTGGGAATGAGACTGCTCCAAAATCTAAATCTGGTCTCACATGTGGAAAATCTAAATCAGATCCAGCATCCGAATCAAGTGTGGTAATGTCCATTCCTAGATGCATCATCCATGCAAGTTTGGTCCAGGTAGGGCTTACAGTTACTTGGGAATGGACCTGCTCCAAAAACTTTAACCTAGTCACTCATCTGAAAAATCTAGGTCAGATCCAGCATCCCAATCAAGTGTGGCAGTGTCCATCCCTAAACGCATCATTCATGCAAGTTTGGCCCAGATAGGGCTTATAGTTACTTGGGAATGGACCTGCTCCAAAAACTTTAACATGGTCACTCATCTGGAAAATCTAGGTCAGATCCAGCATCCAAAGCAGGCGTGGTAGTGTCCATCCCTAGATGCATCATCCATGCAAGTTTTGGTCCAGGTAGGGCTTATAGTTACTTGGGAATGGACCTGCTCCAAAAACTTTAACTTGGTCACTCATCTGGAAAATCTAGGTCAGATCCAGCATCTGAAGCAGGCGTGGTAGTGTCCATCCCTAGATGCATCATCCACGCAAGTTTGGTCCAGATAGGGCTTATAGTTACTTGGGAATGGGACTTGCTCCTAAAACTTTAACCGGGACGCCGACACTATAGCATAAGCTCATCTCGACTTCGTTGAGGTGAGCTAAAAATGCATTAGTCCCTTGGAATTTTAGAAACTATGGAGAAAAAAAAAGACAATCAATAAAACAGTAGCTCTAGCATCAAGAACCTCATTATACTTCTTCCTCTCTAAGAATTTCTTTATTTCTGGCAACATGTAACCATTTCCTTGGTGCTTCAGCTCAAATGTTTTAAATACCAGTTGAAACATTACTGTGTGGTACCTGTAAAAAAATTATTAGCTCTTAATAAATGAATAAATGAAGTTTTACTTTATCAAGTGTCACATAGTACATGTACATGCATCTGATTCTATTACTTTTTGAGTAAAATTATTGCACAGTTCAATATGTACTGCAAACATTTCTTAAAGGATGATGTGACATACGGCCCCCCGTAAATTGACAAAAAATTAAATATCTAAATTTTACTCTAATTTTTGCATGCACTTAATCACAGATATGTATATCCTCATAAAATACTACTTTTACCGAAAATAGAAACATAATTTGGAAGATATATGTCTTTATTTTGAGTAGGGGTACCATGTTTACATCCAATTCCCATTGAATTTTGGCCCAGCCCCACTCTTTGAAGCCCTTAAAATATACAAGCGCAAGTAGGTACATTTTTCTCCTTTGGCTGGTCACTGTCTTTTATTGAAATCTACCTATATGTGAAAGGAGAAAAATGTACCTAACTGCGCTCACATGTTGTTTTTAAAAAATTGTAAAATCTAGCTGGCCTTTCCCATTATGAACAGATCGACGAAACTATATTTTCTGACGTAAGAATAAATTCATATGCTAATCGAGGCACTGGCGATACTTTCTAACTGACCAATCAGCTAAATGAGTTGCATAACTAGTGAGTACCACAAAAATACTAAGGACATTTTATGCTTGGAAAAAAGATTGTTTTTTTTTTTTACCTGCTTTCCGATAAACATTTTTTTTGCATTTGAGTCACAGATTAGACACGGATTTACAATTTCCCAGCTCACATTTACAAACAATTGATTTATAAATATGCATAGTTAAAAGTTTTGTAAAGCGTTCGGTGGGCAATTCGCTAGGTCTACACGTATTCCCGAGAATCAGTGAATAGAAGTTTCATGTGCATTTCTTGACCCTAAACGGTAAACACTGCGGTTCCATGCGTATTATCATGTATAAATAGCCTTTGCTGATCATTAAAAGTTTGAAATGTAGTAAAGATACTGTGTAAATTGACCTAAACCACGTGCCTGTGATAAAATGTAAACATGTAGTAAACCAGCATGTTTTGTCGTTCTGTCATCGGATTGGACAATTGTTCTTGGTAAGCGACTATGTGCGAAATAATAACAATAGCCATATAAGGTAGATTCCTCAAACATGCATATCCCTCTATTGTACTAGGACCCGCCTATTCTCTTTTCATAAAAGAACCAGGACGAATTTTGCTGTCATAGGGAAAAAAAAAATCACAGATAATGCAGTAATCCTTATAATTAAAATTTGTCGGAACTATGAAACTATTCGAAAGGTGTCGTATTTATTCACTCATGTATGAAAACTATCAAAATCGTTGTAGATTAAATATAATTCGTCGTAGAAAAAGAGGCCCCAGATAGCAGTTATGTCACATCATCCTTATTGCATAGTTCAATACTGCAAATGTTTCTTAACTTCCTGTAGACACTAACCTTGTTGCAACACTCACAGCATCCAGTTTTAACTCTGGTGTTAAAACCTGTCCTTTATTCCTGATGTTGCAATGAGGAGATGACAACCAACCATCAAATTCCTTACAAATTGCATACGAAAAAGTCGCAGTTTTGTGAACATGAAGATCATGCGAGTCATTCAACAGGAAAACAACAAATGCATAGGGGTTATCACTTTTCATCAAGTAGTCTCTGAACTGTTTTAACACTGGTGACTTGTCTTTCCTTTCTTGCCACATTTCCTGAAGGTGATCTGAGCAAGCTTTCATTTGCTGCCTCTTCGTCTCATCACCATTCTTCAAGGCAGACATAGCCCATCCCACTTTCACTTTGGGATTAGCTTTCTTGAATGCTTCTGCATCGAAGTTGGCACCATCTGCACACATGGTTTTTGACTTCTTTGAGTTTAAGTCTTTGTTGTTTACTCCCAGATTACCTCTTTGACCATTTTCATCAGTGTTGTTTGACTTGTCCGAGAAGCATGCAGGAACTGTACGGAAACATCGTCTTTGTTGCGAAAATGTGCCCGAGTGATTGCTTTCACCTAAATAAAAAAAAAAATTTTAAGAAATTTGAAAAAGTTCAAATTCACTTTGAATAGATTTTTTTTCAGAGGCAAATCAATAATAAAGCAAGTATGATGAACATATTATCTCCATCAGGGCACATGTTTTTTTTTTTTAAGTATGTCTTAATAAGCAGATATGTGAGCACACAATGTGCTAGGCACTTTCACTTGTTGGTGCTATTAAGCAAATACTTCAGAATGTTTCATCTCATCTATCTACAGGTATACTATTCAAATACATGTAATTATGTATAACACAGATATTTTTACAGATTTTCAAATAGTCCAATTGGAATATTATCATATATATCAATTTTTGGTGATTACAACCATATTAAATCCATTTAAGTGAGTAATGATCAAAACAAAAGGGACATGACACTAAAAATTAAAAAATAAGTTTTGCTCCAAACAGTTTTTAGGAGTTTTTCAGTGTAATTTCACACAGTGTCTTGAGATAATCTGAGCTAAATTGGGTGTATAGTACTGTCTCGTATCTTGTTTTCCACCATATTGTATTTTTGATTTATTTTTCTAAATCTGCTTCCTACGCAGATACCATGTGCTACATCATCATTTTTGACTGAAAAATGTAGAAAACATAGGTTGTGAAAATAATAACAAAAATAAATCAAATCAGATGTTTGTTTTCCTGATTATATCAGAAATATCATTTAATTTCTATAAAATAATTGATTCTGATTGGATAAAAAATTCTTTTGATAACTGCATCAATAGAATTTGGAGTTCGCTTGCACTTAGCAGCCGGAACTACTTTGTACATGTATATTTCCCGCTTCCAGAAGTTCATGAAGGAACAATTAAATACTTTTTCTCTAATAGATATTTTCCTGAATTTTGAAACTTGTCCGTTGCGTTCCTGACTTATTTTTTTTTAATTATCCCCCTTTGCTAAACAAATCAGATCGTCTGCATGACAACAATACAGTAATGGGAAAGAAGGAAAGAAATCAGCATACCTATGTTAAATGTTTGACTTTGAGATAACTGGTATGAACAATAGAACTGTGAAGAAATGTTTCATGCTACCAAAGCGGGGAAATGCCGTTAGGAACCGAATGATTGAGAAAAACGACACTGCATGAATGAGGACAGAATTCTTTCAATGTTAAACAGTAGGCAACAGACTCTTTCAGATTTTACAGCATGGACAGGTTGTGATCTACATATTTATATGTTCGGTTTGAAATTCAGATGAAGAGATGCGCAAATGAAATCCAAAATTTCTGTGACCTATAGAAAGAGTTGTTAAGATATCAGAGTAGCATCCCTTTAAATTTACGAACCTAGATAGGTTACTGGGGGAAATATACCCATTGGGATGTAGCAAAAAAATGATAACAGGTAAGTTTTTTGTGTTAAAGAACTGTTAATCATTGTTAGAAAAGGTTGGTAGTGACACGACAATATTTGAGAACGTTTTTTCTTCGTTAGGCCTATAGTGATAGCCATTTTGAATTTCAGCAACATTGTTCTGATATATTCCTACGCACTGTTTTTGATGCGTAAATTTAATAGTAAACTGAAGGAAAGTTTCATTTTATTATTTTAAAATCATAATTAAATGATAAGAAATGAAAGTATTATTTTTTTCTTTGACCGACGTATCAAAGAAAAAATTTGGACAGAAAACGTTTTCATCAATGCGATACGCGCATTGATGACGTTTTCCATCCAAATTTTTTCTTTGATACGTCGGTCAAAGAAAAAAATATTACATTCATTTCTTAATATCAATAGTCAATATCAGAAATTTTCATTTTCTCATTTTACTTTTTGATTAATTAAAGCCATAGTTAGTGAATTACAGAGGCTCTTGGATAAATAATATTCTTTTAAAAAGAAATTTAGACCTCTGTCACCAAGACGCATAAATATTACAGTGAAAGGGGCGAATCACAATTTTTTTCTTCCATACATTTGGACTTTTTCTTCCAAAAATTTAGTGAAAAATTAAAATTTCATTGAAAATTTTCAAAGGGCGCAGCCACAGAGGAGACAGTATAGCCAATGAATAAAATTGTCTGTAACCAAGATCCTCTTAATTAAACACTCTGCGTAAGAAGACTCTTACACAGAGTGTAAACGACGCAGAAAAAAATCCTATTTTAATCAGATCGATAATTTAATAGGTCAAAAATACAATAGGCTTGGAGTAACGGTGAAAATAGGGGAGAATTTCTCCCCTAGCTATTATACTATATCCCTGATTTGCAGATTGTCTAAAACCCTGTTAAATCAGGGACCTATATACTAACTATAGTATATATGTCCCTGGTTAAATCAGTTATTACATATGAACTTCTTTAAAAATCATACCTTTCTTTCCAGTACCAATTATCTTTATGAATTTCTGACCATCTTCCACAGAAATTACTGAAATATTAAAAGCTAGTATAACGTTATATGAAAAACAAATCACAATCCTTACAAATGATTTTCCCTTTCCTTTTCAACACAGAAAAAAATAAGACAAATGAATAAGACACCTGTCTTCGAAATAATTAATCTTGACAAAGTATCTCTTTTATGGGATAAAGGGCAATGTACTCTGTTTACAAACGCTCTTCTGTGTAAGAAGATAACAAATTTTAAAAACAAGTGAAAAAAAAATTGCACCGTACCTTTCACCAATGAATCTACAACATCAAGCTCGGTACCACAAACTTGCACCGATTTGCTGGCAGTTTTAGTGATGCACAACCTAGATATACATTTTCTCATCAATGTGGATATTAAAATAACCAAAACAATCATTACATGTGCATAGTCGGATTTATCCTGAAGACGTTGCACGCTTTTAAATATTCCGGATTGTAAAAGGAAAAACCCAACTCGGTATTTTCAAGGTATGGAGGACCGTTCGTGTCACAGTCCATAATGAACTAATTTTATTGAATATTTAATCAAGCCAGGGGTCCTGAGTCAACAAGTTGCCGTTGAACGGCAACGTGTTGACTCAGGATCCAAGGCTTGCGAGGATGTACAATATGCTTAATTCTCAAAGCTGTCAATCTTGAAAGATTTCAGATAATTTTTTGCGCGATTTTTTTTTATTGGAACTCTGGATTATTCGAAATAACAGACAGGTTGATGAGGTTATTTTTTAAAGGAGGCCTTTCGTCATTTTGACAAAATACAAAAACATAATATCTAGAAAAATCGTATTTCTCGTCGATTAAGCGAATTTGAGACCAACATCTAAAAAAAAAAATCCTTCTTAGTCTAAGAGGAGTGTGTATCGGAGAGCAATTAATTTCTTCTGATATTTAAGATATTTAATTGGGGGGGGGGGATTTGCACCTACCTGCACTTGTTTCTTTTAGTTTTATCTCTCTTTCAGTACGAGATGCAATGGACAGATTGCTTGGTTTGTCCCTGATATCAGGTTCTGTGACGTTTGGAGTTTACTACACAATGTGGGTTATCATTCTGGTAAGTCATTTCATTCATAAGATTTTTTTTTTTTTTTAGTTTTTAAATAAAGGCCTGAGGTACTCTTATACGTTCTACCGTTCCATGTATTCTATTTGACAGCAATATCAAATTCTCTAGAACAGATCACAGGAGCTTGGGGACGGGACGTACCCCTCCCCCCCCCCCCTCCTCCCCGTGATCCGTACCCCATGGGTTCTTTGACTTTTTTTTTTAAATCAAATATTTTTCTATAACACATTCACAAAGTAAATACAACTGAAAATTCTAAAATATAAGCTAAAACTAGCCTTTTATAAAAATTCATACTCTCTGATACTGAAAAGACGTTCTCTTTTAGTATCAGAGAGTATGAATTTGTTTAATTTTAACAGAAAAAGACTAATACATATGGAGAATTGTTAAAATGATTAATATTATAGACATGGAGAATCACACATCCATGGATACAATTCCTTTCTCTATGTAAATATAGGGTATATATTCTTACTTCTTTTCAGCCGTTTGTAGAAAAGGAAAGCTTACTGCAGAATTTTTTCCCGCCAAAAGTATTTGCAGTGGCCATCCCTCTCTTGATTGGAGTTATCGGTCTGATTGTGATAGGTATTTTTTTTTTTAAATAAGACGGACAAGAAAAGTATATTGATAAGTTTTAAGATGGTATATCCAGAAAATATAGGTATGTCTTTTAATTTCTTTCTTTCATTGTGTAGAAACGGACTAGGGTGAATTTAAGTGCGTTACCCTAGTCCAAGATGGCGATAGGCAAGAACGCTTCACATTTTCTTGTACAAATATTGGTGCTTTCTAGCGAAAATCTTTACTTTATTATGCACCAATCTGTCGGGCATCTTCAGTTTTATATGCTCGCTTGGAGATTGTATTCAACTTTAGCGTAATTAAATAGAAAATGCACGTCAAAGTTTTGCTGCAGATTAGGGTGAAGTTTCTGGACTATTTATTTACGATTAGGGTAAAGTTTTTTCGAGACTAGAGTAAAGTTATTCTGCAGTCTGATTGTGCACGATTTTGATATTTTAACTACTTTATACAATTTATATAGTTGGAAAAGGCTTTCTCGAAAAAGTTCAAGAACTGTTGCTTCCACAAAGAGGTTATATCGATTGCAATTTTTTTTAATAACCAGATTTTTCTTTCAGATTATTACTCTTATTATGAACGTTATATTTTCCGTTTCAGGTACATATATTATTTTATTGTTAAATAAATATACATGTATAAATGATGTAATTAATTTATCTGATGTAACTTTAAGTATTGTTTCCTGTATATATATAAATCTACTTTGCATCTGTAATCCCTTCTTTGAGCGAAATCATAGAAAATGAGTCACTATATCTAATTTGCATTTGTTGGTATTCGACAGTAACGGAGTTAAATCCGCATTGCGGGTAATTGAAATAAACTTTTATCAAATGTAATGCGAAATTAACAAACAGTAATCATGCTCAAAGTCCAATTAAACAATACAAACTGTGAGCAGAGCAAACAAGGACCTCTGAAAACATCAGAGGTGAGATCAGGTGTCGTGGGGGAGTTGGCATCATCTTTCGATCGGTCACCTCTGCCACGTATCCTTTGTTTTCATCAGATAAAGGGAAAATGTGTTCACAATTCAGTTAGAAAATAATGAACTAACAATTTATATGAAAGACATCAGTCAACTTTCGAGCTAACAACATAATGTATTTGCTAACAAGATCATTGCATTGACCATAGAATTTGCGAAATGTTGGCCTTTAAGGAAATTGTTCATACCCTTATCATCAACTTATTCGTCAGCAGCGCAGTCGTTTTAGAAATTGTTCATACGAATCTTCGAATCCACTGGCGACATAAACCCTAATTGCAGGTGAATATGATATATTGCTACACAAATAAGGGAAGTTGATGATAGAAGGTTTGGAGTCATCACGTTTATCATCTTTTAAGCTTAGGTGTTAGTTTACCATCAATGTCTTTCTTAAAACATCCAAATATGTAATGTATCAGAATCTTTGGAATCTTTTATTGAGTTTAATGGGACATATCGAATCAATGTTTGAATGAAAATGAATATTGTTAATGACAAAGCATCATCAATATATCTAACTGTTAAATTGAATGTCACCGCTAGAGACTTCTTTTTAACACTTGATCGCAAACATGGAAACAAGTGTCGGATTTTGTTTTAAAGTATAATAATGTAAATTGTAAGGATATCGAAAAATGATCAATCTCATAAATCCCTAAACAAAACGAAACATAGAAATATATTGACAATGTGCACTGCTGACGACATAGCTCTATCAATATCGATTTACAAAATGATTTTGACAAATACGATGTAAGATAGTAGTCGACCTAAACACCTCCATTACAAAAGAGCGCACTTTTTGTTCGGAAAGAATTTCTATGCGTTGTTAAGGAGATTAAACTTAATTAAGTGGTCTGATTTTCTAAGAATAATTTGTTGAATGCTTGAATACTAATTTTTTCATAGTAAAGAATATTTTAAGTACTTAAGTACAATTTTTATGAAAAAAAAAACTCACACAAGTTTTCTGAATCGAAGCCCAGGTTAATCTGCATTTATCTTACTCTTTGACAAATGCTTTGCCAAAGTTTTCTCATTAGGTAGAACAAAGTTTATTTTGTCCGTTTTTCTCAATCTAGGGTTAAGCTTATAAGTGCTAGTATAATAACATTTTCTGTATAATATGCAAATCTAAATACAAAAAAGTAATCGAGGTCGAGAGAGTATACACATAAGTTAATGACACAGTGATATCAACCACCTCGTTTAAATTTGACATTTAGCAAATTCTATGGTTGATACAATGACCTTGTTTGCAAATACAGTCTATCGTTAATTCGAATGTTGATTGACGTCTTTCATACGAATTTTTCCCAATTTACCTGATCATGACAAAGAGTACACGGTAGGTTTTACAGATCGACAGAGTATGCTCACTCCTGCATGGCACCTTATCCCACCTCTGTTTACACTTTTCAGAGGTCCATATATGCTCTGCTCATAGTTTGTATTGTTTAAATTGGATTTTGAGTATGATTTCTGTTCGTTATTTTCACATTTCATTGATGGTACTTTAATTGATTTGTAGATATTTGAAAAGTTTTTAGCCGTTATCTAAATCAAAACTGTTTTCAAAACTCAATTTTTATAAACAGAAACTGATTTGAACAAAATTAGGCCATTGTGCTCTTTCAGAAATTGCCAGCGCACAGAGAATTTTTCAAATACATAGTGTTTGTTGCAATGAATTATGAATTTACTGGCAGAGTGCGTTCTGATTCTGCTGAAATAGCACTTTTTAAACCCTGAAACAAGCAAAATGACATTTTACATATGCTTTACCCTAGTCACTCAAAGAGGTCACAAAATCTTTACCCTAGTCGTAAATTTGCGTTACCCTAATCTTGTTCAAATTTTCTACCCGTAATTTGGATTTAATCAGAGCAGATCATGCAAAATTTTTGCAATAGGTACGTACTTCTGTTTAAAATACTTAGATTGAAACCACCCATTTTATAATATAAGCCTGTATAATGCATAAACTAAGTGCAAAATAATCGAAGCGTATTTGCCTGTCGCCATCTTGGACTAGGGTAACGCACTTTACCCTAGTCCGTTTCTACACAGTGTTCTTTGAAATCAAATTATGTTTTACACCACCAATATATACCTTATGATTTATTGCTTTCCAAATTTATTTTTAGGATTATTCGCCAGTGTAACGATGTTACAGAAATCACGTGCAAGAAAACGCAAAACTTCATGACTGTTTAAGTTTCATTTTCCCACTTGGCCAACATGACAATACCCGACCAACTGAGCTTAGTTGTCAAACACATGCAGAAGGAGGGACTTTTTTCCCATGCCTAATAAAGATACATGGTATTCATAAAGATCTCATATATAGATCTCATACTAAATAAACAGTGAAAGGCTTTATATAACAAACTTTGTATTAAAAATAAAGTGTCAAAGTAAGACTTAGTCAGTCTTGTTAATCACTACACAAATACACTGTATGAAGAAAACTCATATAAACATTCAATTTAGCGTCTCCTGAATATAATATGAAGAAAAAGTCTCATGTCATGGACACACAGCTTCCAGTATGCAAATTAATCATTTTTTGGCAAAAATTGCACTAAATGGATGTCCCCTTGCACTCTTCAGTTTCTTGAATTCTATATCATGAAATCCAGCTTTCTTTAAAGAGTCCATATATTTAAATGGGTCTGTGTTTCCGTATTTCAAGACTCCCACTTGTTCTGCCACTTTTAGACCCTGTTCGTTCATTACAGCTATCACGTTTGCATTTTGTTTCATTACTCTGTATAATTCTCGAGCACATGCAACCTGGTCATCCCAAAAATAGTAACAATTACAATGAAACACGTGATCAAACATGTCGGATTTGAAAGGAAGTTTTGCTACATCTGCCAATATAAGTTCAACTTTCCCTGCTTTTATCTCGGTCTGGAGTGAATGACTCGCCTTTTTTAACATTGCTTGAGAAATCTCAACACCGTAGACCTTGCCCTTGCCATCTGTAAAGAAAAAAAACCCCACAATATGTAGATAGACAAAAAAAGTGCATTAATGTGGAGGAACAAACAAGCATATTGCTAGTTCTTATTGACTTGATAGGGTGGATTTATATTTTAATACCGAGTCAAATATATTAAGAAAGAGGGAATACCGGTATATGTAAAGAAATGATAGTCCAGCGTGTTATTTGCCGTTTGTTACCTTTCTGTTTCATTCTAATAACTTTTTCAAATCTGTGTTTCCTTTGTATACATTTTCTATTCTGAAACAGGTCAATAAATAAGTTCTACCTATCCAGAATTGTCAGAAATTGACTTCCAGTTTCAGAATACAGTCAATTATTATGCGCCACAAAATGCCCTGTAAATGGCTCTCTCTCTCTCTCTCTCTCGCGTAATTTGACATTTATAATAATAATCTTATTCCAATCTATGATTTAATAAATAACCTTTTATTTTCATGTGCGCCTCTTTGAGTCCTATTCCCGGACCAAATCCCACCTCAAGAACAATATCATCTTTAGAGATTTTACACACGTCGACAGCGTTTTTCTCCAAGTATCTATTTTTGTCTTCAAAAACGTATTTCTGAAAATAAATTATTTTTTTCTTGAAACTTCATTATAATTATTTAAAGATGAGAAGTATAAAACTGATCTGAACAAGTACTTAAAAGTCTTACGCTGACGAACCAGCCAACTGGTCCACTTTTGGGGTGCCTGAGATTTTTCGCTATTGCGTCTTTTATTATTCCCATCACCTAAAATTTCAGAAATGATAGAAGAGCATGTTGTTGAAAATATTGAAGTTGATTTAGAAAATGTAACGCACATTATTAGGACACATTTGTTGTTATATATTATTACCAAGAGAATTTTACCAATTCCTAGTAAGATTATAAGTGCATGAGTTAAGGGAGATAATGAGATTAAATACTTGTAGTCTGCACGCAGATATAGATGCCTCATGCCCAAATGCAATCTGCTTGCAACTGAATGTTATTTATTCATTTTACGTCTCGATATATTGCAGAAGTTTCCAAGGGCAGCACCAATGCCTTTTTTTTAAATTTAGAATTACATGTACAAATTTCCTTTTGAAATTAGTAATTATCAAGTTTTTATCAAAAATCATTTATTTCTTGTTACAAATACCAAATTTGTGATTATAAATTGCTAAACTGCCCGCGTGTTGCAGTGGTTAGAGCGTTTGCTCTAGAGTCGCGGTGTAAGGAGTTGATCCTTACGTCGCGGGTTCGAATCCCACTGGAGGACGTGAGGACCGGTCCTTCGCATGAGACCGTATGAATCGAGTTCCCGTGTCGCAGTAGGTGCTGGCAGGAAAAAGACCCCTCACTGTTCAATGGCCCTAGGCGGAGAGTATAGGTCTAAATTTGCAGTCCACCGCCGGCAAGTGGTGGCGTCTCCATATTGGTGGAAAATTCTCGATAGGGACGTTAAACAAAAAACAAACAAAATCAAAGTGCTATTTTATAATTAAAAATTACTAATTTATAATTACAAATTGCTCATTGGTAAATGTATATAAAGAAAAAAATACTGTTGCCACCCTTAAAAGCATCCGGTAACATACGAATAAAAAAAAAGCGCACTCGAATGTAAACCTATAAATCCATTTTTTCTCTTCAAAACAGAGGTGTTAAAACTAACACGATTCACTTTGTTCATTAGAGGACTTGACAAAATTTAGCTCTTATATACAAGCCGCAAGGTACATGTAATTCGAAAAGTATTAGGTTATTATACACTTAAAGTATATGACTGAGGGAGTTATAGCAAGATTCCAGTTTCCCGAGCAGGACTATTTCCCGAGGCGAAGCCGAGGGAATTTGAAATAGTCGGGGGAAAATGGAGTCTTGCTAACTCCCTCAAAGTTAGCTGCAGAACTGTAGCGTTATGCAAACGCTGCAGCTAACTTTTTAACTATTTTATTATACCGATACAAAAGTAAAATCTAAAGGGATACCGAAAACCGGAGATTTGCTTTTGAAACAGCCAGGGATTAGCTACTTGACTAACGCACGGCAAAACGGGGATTAGTCCCCGTTCACATAATTATTCACATAGAACGATTTAATTTTATACAGAGAAAAATCAGTAGAGGTATAATAATTATGAATAATCGGAAAATAGTCCTGGCCTCGGGAAACCGGAATCCTCCTAAATCCTTGACCTTCAATGATATATTTTAACTTGGGTACCTGTAAACTGCAAAAAGAAATCGAAAACCTAACGAATTTGGTTTGGTTTCGTTTCATTAGGTTTCGTTTCCTTTCGATTTCGTTTCGCAGTTAACAGGCACGTATTCTACTTCAACTGTATAAGTAGTCCGAAATATCTGACGTTTTCCTGGCTTTTTTACGATTTTCCTATTTTACTGCCAGGAAAACGTCAGAACCGGCACCATTACGAAAACTGGAAATTTCGCCGTTTCCAACCGGAGCTGATTTGCTATACTTGTGAACTGAATTAAATACCGAACTTACAATTTATCAATAGTACAATGCTTCTAATACTCACCAATATCGATGAAAAGAAAAGATCACTCTACATTTCGATACAGGTCTTGCAAGATTTTAAAATGCACGAATAAAAAATAAAACTCGAAGGTCTGATAAAATGTTTTCACCGGACTGTATATTTTATAAACAAACCATAAAAACGATGTTGATGAGCACTAAAGGCATTGTTCTATTGATAAGTTGTGAATCCAGCATTTAATTCGGTTCGCAAGTATCGAAAATCAACCCGAGAATGCCGCCTCCAGTTGGAGGCGGCGAATTTCCAGTTTTTGTAATGGCGCCGGTTCTGACGTTTTCCTGGCACGTAAAATATCAAAATCGTGAAAAAAGCATGGAAAACGTCAGATATTTCGGACTACTGTATAAGTTGCGCGCATGGGCTCTTGTATATATTTCAGTATCAACAATTTTAAAATAATTATCAATAATCTATCATGTATATTTATTGAAATCACCTAGGACTTGACGTAAAAAGTTAGTAGATTGCATGAAATTCGATAGTTGTATTTTTTAAAAAATACATGTAGATCTATCCCCTCTCTTTAGATAATTTGGAGATATATTAAGAGGGGATAGTTCAACTTCACATTCACTGACAAAACTATGGTATTGCTTAAGTTATATAAAAACTATTATACTAAAAGTCAATATAGACTGATGTTTTTATAGAAACTGGATTTAACATAGACTGTACTTTACCATGTTAAATGGGAGGATGCCTTTGGCTTTCCGGTACCCGTAGTATTTCGTCACTATGATGTTTTACACCTGATCGAAAGCCACAGTAGAAAATAATTATTTATAAATATTATTTATATTATGAATTCTGTTTGCCGACTGATGGTATATATTACTCGTGGCCATAGGAACCGGGGAAGGGGGGGGGTGTCTGGTCACCTTTTTTTTTTTTTGCTTGTCAAGGAATTTTTGCTTTGTAAACAAGTTATACATTGTGTCTAGGATCGGTGTACACCGGTATGATTTGCCAAGACACCGGAATTCTGAATTTATCTGATAAATTGGCCTATTTTTTTCTCGTTATATATATTAATATTTTTGAAGATTGAATGTTTATCTTTTTGTTCAGTAGTAGTAGTTATCTGGACTATATTTTTGTGTAATTCTTTTACATGTCCCGATTCAGGTGCTGGGGATCGACATTTTATAAAACTCTTCTCATTAAACTGACATCTATAGAAGTCACCGGTATATACATGATATATTCTTAAGTGCTTCTTCAATCATTTTTTGAATTTGCCTAAAACATTGGGGCCAGTGGATATCAGTGAGCTGAAAATAATGAAAGTTCTTTTTTTTTAACAAAAAAAAAAAAACAAAAAAAAACAAACAAACAAAAAAAAAAAACAAAAAATAAAAAAAAAAACAAAAAAAAAAACAAACAAAAAAGACCCCCCCCCCCAAAAAAAAAAACAAAAAAAAAAAACAAAACAAAACAAAAAAAAAAAACAAAAACGGGTGATTGATTGAAGTTTTAGAGAGGTCTAAAACTCTCTCTTTTTATGAATTTATATGATTCATGTTATATGTCCCCTACCGGTGAAACCGGAGGGGACTATAGGTTTCCTCTGAGTCTGTCCGTCCGTCTGTCTGTCTAGCTGTCCGTCTGTCCCTCTGTCTGTCTGTCAGTCTGTCCCACTTGGTTTTCCGCACTTTTTTCCTAAACGCTTACAGATATTGAGCTGATTTTTGGTATGTAAGTGTATCTTGATGAGTTACAGATTAAGTTTGCATTTCGTTCGGCTTCAATGATGTTTGACGGAATTACGGCCTTTTCAATTTTTAAGGGTTTTCCGCAATTTTCTTCTAAACGCTTTCAGATATTGAGCTGATTTTTAGTATGTGACTTTACCTTGATTAGTTACAGATCAAGTGTGCATTTCGTCCCGCTTCATTGATTTTTGACGGAATTATGCCATTTTCAATTTTTAACGGGAACCAGATTACACTTGCCGGTAGGGGACTAGTATTGCTAATGCAATACTCTCAGAATGCTTGTTTGTACTATTCTCCTCTTCATAGCATTACTTGTTCACATGTATGTGAAATATAGTGTTCATTGCAGCTGCTTCACTGGAGTTGAGCAAATGTCAAATAAGCGATCTCATAAAAATTGAACCTATAAATTTCGATATTATCATCATCCAATGACCAGTAGTACTGTAACTCTAACAATGGAGCGACAATATGTGTAGTAAGAGTACGCACGTATTGTCGCCAGCGACATATATACTTTTGCCGCTTGCGATGATACGTATACCGATGGACGATGATATATGTGCATTGAGGGTAGGTACACATTGTTTCCGGCGACAATATGTGCAGGACAACAATATGTACCATCACGATCGCTCTGCATGAAATAGCCTACGAAACACGTCTGTGCTATTTAATCACCGATTTACATTACACAATACGTCTGTGCTATTTAATCACCGATTTACATTACACAATCGCAACTTCTCGGGCCTTTCCGACTAGCGGAAAAACAACCTCGAATGTATTACGTAGACGCCATGACAACCCCCCTTTTCACAAACTTTGAAATAAATGTGAGAAGACCTCTTATCTGTGGAGTATAGAGTTTAACTTGATTACTGTAAAGATATTACCTAAAATATACTATAGAAGGGACTTTTAACTCCGTCTTTCCTATATTTAAATAAATAGGAAGTTGTATAAAATTTTAACATCCGGTGATGTTAATACATCCGAGGTTGTTTTTCCGACCTCTTACGGAAAGACCCGAGATGATGCGATTGTACATTACATTCACAAAACACAGGAACTTGTTTCGGTAATAATTTTTTAACCCATAGTATAATAATAACACAAGGTATCTAACTCCGAATTACATGGAGTACCCCCCCCCCTCCCCCAGAATCGCACTCATTTACACTTTCAGAGGAAATACACTGACAAACTGTTTATACCTATGTTTTCTACGATAATTTATCTACACAACCATATATGGCATGCTTGTCTTTATTTTCTTTAGTCTCCGTAAACAGCGTCAAAACTCTGCTCATCGAGTGGAAAAGTCGAATTCAACCATGCATGAAATGGTATGTGCTAATCCCGCACAGAGATTTTGATTGGCTAAAAATCTGTTTCTAAAATTACATCGGATAAACATCGTAATGTTTTCAGGGAAAATCAGACGTAAACAAGTTCTATTTACTCATGCAATATTTAAACACTGGAATTGAATTTTTAAACCCACTCATTTTTTTTAATTTTGTTCTCTGTGCGGGATTAGCACATACCATTTCATGGTTGAATTTGACTTTTCCACACGGCGAGCAGAGTTTTGACGCTGTTTACAGACTGAAGACAATAAAGACAAGCATGCAATATATGGTTGTGTAGATAAATTATCGTAGAAAACATAGGTATAAATGTAAATGAGTGCGATTCTGGGGGATGGGGTACTCCGTGTAATTCGGAGTTAGATACCTTGTGTTATTATTATACTATGGGTTAAAAATTTATTACCGAAATAAGTGCCTGTGTCACAAAACTACAAATAAATAATAAATAAATAAATGAATAATATATATATTTTTTTAAATTAAAAGAGGCCCATGGGTCACAACGCTTACCTGCTATTTTACAGAAGCCCATTTAGAACCTATAAAAAATATTTTTGAATTCGATATAACGAATTCTCGAATTTGTTATAACGAATTTAGTTCGTTATAACAATTTCTTTGAATTCGTTATAACGAATTTAATCTGTTATAACTAATTTCTTGAATTCGTCATAGCGAATTCAAAAATTTGTTATAACGAATTAAATTCGTTTAAACGAATTCTAGGATTTGTTATAACAAATTAAATTTGTTTAAACGAATTCTAGAATTTGGTATAACAAATTAAATTTGTTTAAACAAATTCTGAAATTTGTTATAACGAATTAAATTCGTTTTATCAAATTCAACAATCGGATCCTATAGATTAATATATATGAATTCAATATAATATGAACTATACATATAAAACATTCTAAAAAGTGCTTAAGCTCTCCATACTTTTTCTAGTAAATTCCCCTACTCTTAAAGTACAACAGATTGTGATCACTAACCAGGAACTGTCGGTCATTGATGAGGAAAAACATTTTTAAGGATCGCGCACAAATCAAGTCCAAAGTTTTATCATTGACAATGTTTTGACGCTGAATTCGAGCCCCCCTTTTGCCAACAAAATGCTACCTGCTAAAATCATGAAAAGAGAATATCTATTTTTTTTTTTTTTTTACTTGTCAAGGTATTCTGGTTTAATTAATGCACACCCAATACCAGCACTGTGTCCTTTCATCAAAACTAAACCGTGCAGCCTCATTTGAAAAAAAGATGCCCAAGCCCAGGCAACCATGACTGTAGGTTAGATGAGAGTACAACAGAGGATCAAAATTTTATTCCGGAGAAGATAGCAAAACTCTTTTAAAATTTTTTCCTATAAATTCGAAGTCAAATGAAGGTGAAAGCATTCCAATGTAGTACGGATTTGAGGGAAAAAAATCCCAGACGTTTAGCAACATTTGAAACATGCTAAACATTAATGACTCGTTGAGAAATTATAAAGTTTGATGAGGATTTTAGGAAAGGGATCATACTGCTCATACCGGTGCTAATAGATATAGTGTGAATGCTTTTAATGGACAAAAATTAGATTATTTCTTTATTTTTAGTCATAAAATATTTCATAGGAAACACAGAAAGAAAATATTTAAATATACACCATTTAAACATTAAACAAATTAGCCAACTTGCCAAAACTTGAAAAAAGAACTAAATATTCGTCAAAACCTGGAGCATCTATGTTACGCCGGAATAACATGGATATGTCGAAGTGAGTTGAAGTCCTAACCACTTTTTCTTTTCGTTTTTACCTCAATATCTCCATTCTTCCGATATATTAAAGTTTAACGTCAGGTCCATTAAATTCGAGTTAAAAAGATTTACTGAATTTGTGAAGAAACATTTTATGAGCCACCCCAGCCAAAATATAGATTTAATAAAAAAAAAATATTAAGGCCATTGAAATAAGCATTAAGCTATTAAAGTGAGAAATGTGGAGATGTGGCTTGCATAGTAACAATGATGGTATCCATCCGTAATGTTCCATATGTCTCTTTTTCTAGTTTTATGTAACAAATCAAGAATTGTTTTTATTTTAATTTGATTTCCAACTTAGGGGAAACACAATAATGAGTTACCGTATAGTGATAGAAAGATAAAACAAAGGTTTACCCAAAATCCAGTAGTTCAGTTTCGTTCTGCAAAGACAAGGCACATATTCATTTACAAGAAACATTTTAAAAAAATTATATTTCAGCTTCTTAAAATTTTTAAGGGGGTGAGGGGAGGGGGCGTGTTGAATTTAGTATGTAAATATCAGGTGTCGTGCATATGATAAAATACCAAATCATAAATATGTATGACATATATAATTACCTGGTGAAATGTATCATGACTGAAACTGATATAAGTTTTCAGTGGTTTTAGACATAATCCTTAAAACACCAATGAGCAAATTTAATCAAAACCCTAAGCTCACGCCCACCAATGTTCGAAGAACATATTTTGTCTCTGACTGGCCTGATAACTAACCTGGTTAACACTTATCATAGTTTTTTCCAGACACAATTTCACTTTTGCAGAATGGAATCGTCGAAAAGATTTAGACTACAATGTTCCGCCATTCGTTGCCAAAAACATCAAACATATTGACGTCATAATTGG